GCAATTGCTACCAAGTAATACACTCATATACAATGGCAGAATACTTGAACTTGAGAATTCCCATAATAACGTTGCGCGTGTTGTTAATAGCATGGACGACGGTTTCCGTATCGTTTACGTTGCTACTACCGCTTGCTTGTCTCTCTTTCAACTACTTCTATAACAAATTGATTCCAATCCCATCTATATCACTGAGCTTTGATGATTTTTCCTTGAACTATCCCACTGGAACTGGACCTTTTATCGTTTTTAGCGACCTGTCGTCACCACCACCGCATCAAGGTAATATACCACAAGCTGTTAAAGGTCTTGAACAACTCGACAAGACATTGCACTACGACTTCAATTTGAAGATTTCCCTTCTGTGCATGGACTATGAATCGCCTCGCTATGCGTCCACGATGTATCAGGTAACGTTGATGAGTTCTGAGCTATTTCAAATGCTGGATTCTTATAACCCATACGATATGGATACAACTTCCCATGATGCCAAATGGTACGCTAATAACTATGGATGGTCTGTTACACAAGACTTGGACAGTGTGTCTCCAGATTTGTTAGCCAGTGGACTGTACACCTCCCGCAAAAACACTCTCGTGTGGGATTGTCAAAGGAAGAAGAAAACAATCAAGACGTTTGCACCGCCTTTGTTACAAGGATTTATACCTGAAGTGGTTGGTGAATGGGAGTACTCAACCAACTCACACACCATAAATCTCTTGAAAGACATAAAGTTGGAAAACTTCCTTCCAGATGGCAAATCGCTGTGCGTAACATTAGAATTCAGAAGGGAGCTTCTCATCGATCCCAAGACTTCAGTTTTTGAAATAAGCGTCAGCTGGAGTGGTATTAGACACTATCTATACCATTACAGAACGCTAAGCTATGTATTTGGTGTGCTGTTGCTCTGGAGTCTGAGCACTGCTGTGCTGTTCATCACCATAGGCGGTCTTGTGGCCTGGAGAGAGCTATCTACTGAACACGAAGATAAAAACAAGGAGGACCTACCCATCCTTATGACCGGTAACGCTGACGAGGGATTCGAGGGTCGTACAGACGACTTTGACTTTACTGTTGATGTGTGCGAAGAAACAACAACAAGCGGATAGCTTCCTACTGATCGCTTCCCCCATATACGAGAGTTGGCTTAGAATAACTTACGCTTACATCCCCCGATACAAGCTTTTTTGGGTGACAGACGCCCTCGGGCTTCATGGAGAGGCTGGTTTCTCCCACCAAACCACCCCCTACCCTATTGGGGCCCTAGGCCAAGAAGGTAAACAATGACACCTTTGTTACCACCATCAACCAAGCACAGGGAAATGACATAATCGCTAAGCTCTCGCAAGTGGCACAAGTACAGGACAACACTCATATACATGCATATATGGAACTCGCAACACTGCCATCGATGTATATCGCTCGTTAAACAACAACTAAGCACCCCTTGGCTGGGAGGAAACAGTGCGGCCTTGACATTTTCCCTCAAAACATGCGAATCTAGAATCCTAAGCCTATCTGCCGCACGCTAACTCCGTATTTTCCCCCTTGGACCTGTTGGCTTTGAGCCCAAGGCTTTGTGGTGGAATGCAGCGGAGCAATCAAGATTTTCAAAAGGTTGCAGGAAAACCCATTCGCAAGCTTAGCCCGTTCAACTTCGGAAGGAAACAAAACCATGGAGGACCCTTGTTAATTCCACTCACAGCGTTACAGAATCAGACTATATGTGTATCCAGGCTTATATTCAGTGTCAACCAGATAGATTGGTGTGTTTATTTACTTTGAACGTCCCTCTTTTTCTCCCCCCATCCTGTAGAATGTTGCGTACCAATTGAAACCGCTAATTTCAGCTTGACGTTTTGCTGCAGCTGCCTGCTCAGAGGGAAGGGAAAAAAAAGAGGCACAGCGAGGGAAATCAGTGGTTCCAGGCTCCAGGCTCCAGGCTCCAGGCTGAAACAAACTGAGAGGATGTTTCGGCAGAGCAGCAGCAAGAGCCTATTTTTAAGTTTTTTGTGTGCTTTCTCTAGATTTTCTGTGCAGGCTCTGTGCGTGCGCTTAGCTGAGTCCCCAATATCACTTAGCCTCACAGGACAAGAGACAAACTTCACCCAGCACACCCACCTGGTGGTATTCCTATAATTATTTCCCTTGAAATCAAGCAGTATTGTATTTTTATAGTGGTTAGGGGTGTTTGTTGTGATCAGAACATGGAGCCCTACACTATGGGGAAGCCACTGGAAGGAATAAGGACACAGAGGGTAATGGAAATAGAGAAACCACAGACTGCATACCGCTCTCCTTCGGCCTCCTCAAGAAACTCAAGCTCTGATTCGCTGTCAGCTTCACGAAGTAGGATATCCTCTCTACCCTTCAACTTGCCCACACAACACTCGAATGAACAGGTGAGGACGAGCTGTAGAGAGCTGCTCATGGATTACAAGGAGCTACAATCCCAGCTGGGTAAGTTCCAGGCCAAAAGCACACAGGTGTCGAAGACAAATCTACTTCGGCTGGTTGTTCTGAGGTTTTTACGGCTCAAGACTGATTCTACTCTGGACCCTGAGTTCCACAAGAAGGAGATGCGCCAGTTCGTCAACAGAACTGCCGCCTACGGTGTGAAGGTGTTGATGGACTGGTGGAACCTACTACTGTCTGAGCTAGTTGGGGAGCGTATGTCGAGCGCTGAGAGAAGTGTTTATTTGGAGTGCATTAGCCGTATCATGGCTAGAAAGGAATGGAGCATGGCACAGGCAGAAGTATTCTCACGCCAGCTGGAAAGCACTTTGGGGTATGCCTTCACGAGACTGTTGACGATGAAGACCATCTCTTTACCAGTGTCCGCTTTCATAGGTAAACTCTTTGCCTTTTCCTACATTCACATTGATGGGTTTGCCAGAATCTTGTTGTTCACACTTTTTGTGAAGAACTTTTCAATCCACGCATTGATTGAACAACTGCCAAAGCCTGTCGGTAACCGCAGAGTGAAAGTATTCCAGAAGTGTGTGAACAGTCTCATAGATTATCGAGGAGATTATAAGGTGGACCCCAACGAAAAGTTGGAAGTTAATCTGGCGAGAGCAAACTGCATGCAACCACCAGTTGATACTTCCTTTGAAGGCTTCCAAATCAGTGTGAAAAATAGTCCCTGGGTGAAACGTTGGGCAGATTACGAATCTGATATCTTCTGCTCCTTCCTAAGACACTATTTGACTCTCTGTTTTAATGTCTATCCTGCCAAACGTTCGGATGAGTTATTCCACTTCCCAGGATTCGTCATCATTTACGCCCATATCGAACAAGTGTTCAACCATAGTTGTATGAGCATTTTGAAATTCAGACAGCAGTGTTCAAGTCCAGATAGTAGTTCAAAGTCGATGACTATGGATGCAGTTTATGCTTCTGCTACTCAGGGGTCCGACAAATTCAACATTCACAAGTTCATCAGCAAGGTGCCCATAATATCATATTTCTCCTTACTCAGAAGTGTCATATATGAATGTGATGAGAATTTGGCATCTCACGTCGTGGCAATCTTTGAACGTCTGTTGCTTAATAGGGCGCAGAAGATCACTGTCTATGCGTCAACATCTTGTGAGGTAGTTTATGAGTTGCTGATGGAATTCATAATATATTTGCAACATGATTCACAGAAATTCTCATCTTTGCTGAATTGGAAGTTTTGGATATCTGGTTTGGTAAGAATGATTCATACGGATTATATCACATCTCAAGGAAGGGCATTGACGTATTTGTTCAACATATGGCCAATGATGCCCTTGAATCACTCTGTGGATAATGAAGAATTGGAGTATGCAGAATGGATATCGAATAGCGATCTGACACTAATTTACAACATCACTTCATACATGATTTCAAAGCCAATATGGGAGATGCTCTTTGGTCATTGGGATCCACTCGTGAGACATTTCTATATGAGACTGGTGGTTTTTAAGATTATTGGAAGCTCAAGTGATAATTATGGAAGCTATTTGAACTTCAAACAGGTGGTAAAGTCAAATTTGGCAATTACATACGATTTATTCTCATCATTCAAAGAGTCAAACCCCATGACATTGATTAACACAATGGACCTTTCAGCATCAAACCCTGTTCCCAATATGAAATTCATCATCACATATATGGACCCAAAGGCTTTGTCATCAGCCTGTATCGATATTTTGCAATCTTTCGAAGAGTCGCGTTTCTTGCCTTCGTCAATGTCGTCAGGGTCCTCCACAACAACGTTACTATTACCGTCCACCAGGACGGTATATGCGTATGACATATTTGACGATGCTATCTATTCTTCATCCCTGGGCTCTTCTGGGTCAACTACTAGACCACACGCATCGAGCCCATCATCGCCTATATCAGCATCGCGGTCTTCTTCTGGTACAAGTCTGGCACGTGTCCCAATATTGAGCAGCGCCTTAAGTTTTTTCAAAAAGGTTGGCTCATCACAAGAGATTAAGACGCAGAATAACATACCATCATCATACTCCTCGCCCGTTATTCTTCAAGAGGGGCAACCTTTAAGAACCTCACCATACTTATCCACCAGTTTCAGTTCTTTCCCCTCGCATGGCAATATATCAAAATCGCCCAATCTCATAAAGAAATCGCCAAGCTCATTCTCATCATCAACCTCGTCTTTTTCCGAGATATCTGATGAAGACTTTGAGGCTTTCCTGGTCCCAACGTCCAGAACAGTTTCCTCATCAACATATTCAAGGGCATCTTCCAATTCATCATCAACTTCAAAGCTGTCACATGCAATCTCTATGGAGGCACTACCCACGCCACCAGAATTACTTACAACGATTCCACCTCTAAAGCACTTCAGACTGAAGTTTCACCTTACAGTATCACAACAGTCGGTTCAGTTACTTCAAAGAATTATAAAGAATAAGCAAGGGGGCTTTTACAAGGATTTGATAAAAACACAGCTACCAGAGAAGCCTGAATTACCATTCGAGACAGCTAATGGACTGTTTACCAACCAAAATTATGGAATGATGGCGTTTGCTGAGGTTGAAGAAGATGACGATGAGTTTTTGATCATACCGAGAACAAGCACCGCATCTAGAACCGTTTCGTCCGAGGTGAGCTTCCCAAAGGTGAAGAACTACATGCTTCTTGGTAAATTCGTCAACGAATGGAACCAAATTGTTGAAGAGTATGAAAAGTTCTCCAAGATTGGTGCAGATTTGCAGAGCGACGAATACGCATTTGTTGACCCATTGCTAGAATTTGGAGGACCAAACTTTAGAAAGTCCAAGGTATCCTCAAATGTGATTAACTAAATACTATCTATCTATACTATATAATGACAATCAAAACTAACGACCCTTTTATTTATGACCAATCGATGTATATCATTGGAAACTGCGATATCACAGCGAGGTCGAAGTGGGTTTATTTCCCAAAGTGGTAAACTCCGACCATCCCTCGTAATTGGAAGGCCATCAGCGCCAATTTTTTTTTTCCTTTCATTTTCTTGAAAAAAAAAGTCAACGCAAGATAGTTTGTTTGTTATTGAAAGAAAGGCCGAATACGCGGTTACTGGTTCAAATTCCCTTGAAGCTTAGTTGAACATGAGCACGAAAAGAGAGTCTGAAGAGGCTAACGGTATTGAGCTCAAGAAGCGGAAGGTACTTGACACGCTGTCTGAGTCTGGTCCGCTAACTCAAAAGGACGTTGTATATTTCCAGAAGGAAGCCATCTTTAGACAACTTCAGAAGTACAGGTCCGAAGTTAAAGTCATCAAAGGCGAGTATGCTCTCCTAGAGACTGAGTTCGATTCACTGACTTCAAGTTCTATACTGCTGTCTCAATGGGTTGACCAGTTCTTGGAATTTGTAACTGGTGTATCAACACAAAAAGATGATGTTTCTGACCTTGACTTTTTCTTGAGTATTCCTTCCAGTGTAACTGATGAGAGCCTCATTAGCACTTTGAACTCAAAGAAGGAGAAGTTTGTATCTCTGGTTCAGAGGTTTGGCGGTGCTTTAAGTGCGGATGCTAAGAATTCCGTCGCCAGCATCAATAAGGAACTCCATAACGTGTCGGCGAAGTACGATGCCCTCAAGATCCAGAACAAAGTGTTAAACAAGAAGCATGCTAAATTGCTCGAAGATTTCAAAGAACTTTCTAATGAATTTGAAAGATCTACCAGCAAAACGCTCGCTAGGGTTTTGAAGCCCAAGGAGGAGCATACAGAAGACGAGGTCAAGCCAGAGTCTCGTTCCAACAGTGTGAAAGGTGAAACCACCGTAGGACCTATGCAAGTTGATGAGAATCAGCTGGAAGCATTGACAGCACAAATTGCAGAACAACAGGCGATAATAACTGCTCAAAAGAATACAATATCTGAAAATATTGAAAAATTCAGTAAACTCTCGTCATCCATAAATGTACAGGTCGATACAGATGAGATTGTCAGAAACTCTGACAAATATCAACAATTACAAAAACAGAAAGATGATTTGCAATCTAAACAACTTGAACTTGTTCAGAAGATAGAACTTTTGGAAAATGACTTGAAGGAGAGCAATGACAATTCAACACAGCAGGAGAAGGCCTTGGAAAAATTCAACTCCGAGAAGAACAATCTCATGAAGGAATTAGCTGAAACCAAGGAGAAGGAAGAGAGGTTGAGAAATCAGAGAGATCTTTACCTCACTGAGATTGATGTATTAAAACAGAAGAACAACTGGAAGGTGATGAACGATTTAAAAGAGCTTGTAACTGCGCAGGAGAAGCAGATTTCAAGCCTAAGTCTAGAATCCCAGCTGAACAATATAGTTCCGAGCGACGCGACAGACTTGGAACAGCTACAGAAGAAGAACGCGTTATTGCTAAAGGAGATTTCTGAGTTAGAGATGGCCTTCCAGCAGTTGCAATCTGTACGTGTACCAAAGATCCTCAGTGCTGTGGAGGAAGAGAAAAGAAAGAAAGAGCTGGATGTGGCAAAGATCAAAGTCGACTCAAAGTATAGAATGCTCATGGAAGGTGAAAAGTACCAACAGGTGACTCGGGATAAGCTCGAGACATCGTTCAAGATGTTGAAGACTAACTTCGACAAACTTGAGTCTTCACAACAGGAGTATAAGGTCAAGATTGATGCGTTAAACACTGAATTGACGGAGTTGAAGACACTCTTGGCTAAAAAAGAACTAGAATTGAAGGAATATCGTATCAAGAATACCAATCTCGAAGAAAGGCTCAAGTTGGAAACGACACAGTCAAAGAAGATTACGCAAGACTTTGCAGTCTTGAAAGATGAACACGAATCTCTTTTGATAACAGATGCTTCAAAGAGCTCTGAAAATGCACAACTGAAGTCGAAGCTATCCTCGCAGGAGAAACTGATTCAACGATTCAAGCAAACAGGGTCACTTGAAGATTCCTCAGAGATTGATAACTTCCGTTCTCTGATATACTGCTCGTTATGTTCTAAAAACTGGAAAGACACTGCTATAAAGACATGTGGACATGTCTTTTGTGAAACGTGCGCTAAGGAGAGACTAGCTGCAAGAATGCGTAAGTGTCCCTCTTGCAACAAACAATTCAGTTCAAATGATCTATTGACAATTCATCTTTGAACGCTCATCATGACCATGTATTATATATTTCAAAGCAATATGATTTCCAACGACGATTCAACTCCATTAGCTGAACATGATAAGACTTCATTGCAGTATCTACCTCTTATGTGCAACACGGTTGTAAAAGTTAATTTCTTTTTCGTTCCCCCGGTTAACCGACCACGTTACCTCGACAACGGGCTTTTTTTTTCGCAAAACCTGCCCCCGTCAAGAAAAAAAGGTGCAATTTCGCAACTGTGCCGAAAAGAGCAAATGCAGATTCAAAAACCAAAAAAACAACAACAAAAGAACACGTCGGGTTTAAATCCAAATGATCACCGGTAAACACCAAAAAAAAACAGAAAAAACAACAGGAAATAGTCACGAGTCAGCACTTAGTTATTCGCGACCACCCTCTTTTTGGTTTTTTCAAGTTGGATGAGAAATTTACAACCGTCAATAAACAACAAGGTTGGCGTCAAGTTAGCACTATGAGCATCGAGTCCATCGCAATCCACAGTTAGTTTGTTGGAAGCATCCTTTTACGTAGTTCACTGGCACTTTGCCACCCGGTAAATCCCAGGCTCGTTTAATATTTCACATGCGTAAATCTCAGCACGGATAAAAAGTTGGCTAAAACCGCGTTTTTGCCTTCGTTGACACTGCACGAACGGCCTGAGTATTTAAATGGCAGAGAATCCCGGTTTTCAGAAGTTGGTTTTTGTGTTTTTTTTTTCAGTGCTTGTCATTGGAGAAAGTTCGCGAATCTCGGATCTTCTTTTTCTCGTCAAAGGAATTTTATCCGCGCGCGTTTGATAACACATCCAAACACCTTCCATTGTTGTTGTGTTTGTTGTTGTTGCCGTTGTTGTTCTGTTTGTTGTTGTTTTCATTAGTGTTATTGTTTATCGTATAAAAGAATGTCAATGGAGGAGGTACAAAAGGAGGATGCATCCGTACCTGTTACACAAGCTGTTGATACAATAAGCCCAGTAAAACATGACCTTGAAGATAAACCTGAGAGCGATGCAAAGAGAGTGAAGGCCGATGAAGCTGAGCCGGAGACTTCAGAGAAGCCAACTGAGGCAACAAAGGATGAGGCTGCTGAGGTGCCACCGGCAGTGGATACCGATGAGCCTGTCAGCAATACCACGGAGACAGGCGCCGCAACTTCTGAGGTTGCCACTGAAACTGCTGAGTCTAAGACTGAGCAAGACGGTTCCGCAAGTGTTGAGAAGCCAAAACAGGAAGACGCGGTGGCAAATGCCCCTGCTGTTGAATCGATGGAACCTGCGCCAAAGCCTCCCTCTGAACCAGATATGAATAACCTCCCACAAGATCCTATTCCAAAACATCAACAGAGCTATGCCGTTCGTGTGGTGAAGATTGTGAAAAGAATGAAAGATGCTTCTCCCTTCCTGCTGCCTGTCGATATCGTAAAGCTCAACATCCCATTGTATTATAATTTCATCAAGAGACCAATGGATCTCTCGACCATTGAAAAGAAACTTACGTTAAATGCCTACGCAGATGTGAAAGATTTTGTTGACGATTTTAACCTCATGGTTGACAACTGTGCTCGTTTCAACGGTGCCGATTCAGTGATAGCTCAGATGGCCAGAAACATACAGGCAAGTTTTGAAAAGCACATGCTGAACATGCCACCTAGAGATGCAGCTCTCGCTGGGAAGGCTAATGGTGCTCGCAGAAAAGCCAGCTCTACTCCAGGCGAATTGAATAGCGAAGGAGTGCCAACTATCAGAAGAGATTCCGTTGCCAATGGAAGACCTAAGAGGGAGATTCATCCACCAAAGACAAAAGATCTGCCATATGACGTGAGACCTAGAAAGAAAAAATTCGTTGCCGAGCTAAGGTTCTCTCAACAAGTGTTGAAAGAGTTGACGTCGAAAAAGTACGAATCTTTTAACTTTCCATTCTTGGAACCTGTTGATCCCGTCGCTCTTAATTGCCCAACCTACTTTGACTATGTCAAGGAACCGATGGATTTCTCGACAATTCAAAATAAGCTCAATAACAACCAGTACGAAAACGCAGATGAATTCGAACATGATGTACGTCTTGTTTTCAAGAATTGTTATGTGTTTAACCCAGAAGGCACTGCTGTGAACATGATGGGACACAGACTGGAGGCCATATTTGATAAGAGATGGATTGATAGACCAGTTCCAGCTCCTACTCCAAGCCATTCTGAAGAAGAGTACGAGTCAGAAGCACCTTCAGAGGAAGAGGAGATTGATGAATCGAGCATCACGAACCCAGCCATACAGTTCCTTGAAGAACAGATTCAAAGAATGAAACAACAGTTGGACAAGCTGAAAAAAGATGAACTGGAGAGGCTCAGAAAAGAGAGACCAAAAAAGAAGAAGACAAAGGCTAAACAAAAGAAGAAGAGAAGAGTCAGTACAGCTGCCCAGGAAATGGTTCTTACTTATGATATGAAGAAGGAGCTTAGTGAAAAGATTAGCGAGTTGCCAGAAAAGAAACTCAACCAAGTTTTAGCGATCATCTCCGAAGCTATGAATATCAATAATCAGAACGGTGAGGAGATTGAGCTTGATATGGATCAACTCGATAACACTACCCTCACGAAGCTGTACAACCTCGTTGTCAAGAAGAAACCAACGAGCAACGGCCACCGTCGTTCTGCGTCGGCATCTATCGCTAAAAAGACCAAAAAGGGTAAGAACTTGTCAGAAGCTGAGCAATCCCGTCAAATTGAAGACTTGAAGAAAAAGATTGAGCTGTTGGATCAAGGTTCAACACCAGTTAACTCTAGCTTTGCTACTGGTAATGCAAACGATTCGGATAACTCTGACGATGATGTGAGCTCTGAGAGCTCTGAGGAGGAGTAATTGCAATGAGAATGAAAGAAACAGAACTAATGTGGGTCTATATGAAATACATGTTTCCATATATTTCCCACATGCACATATACATACAGACTATTACCTTTGTTTTATTTTCTTTAGCACAGCCATCTCAATTATGCTATGCTGCTCTTCTCGTTCTTCCCTGTTTCTAATCTTCCCTTGACACTATCTACCTCTTTATACCCTCGTTAAACCTTCCAATCTTTGTTATTTGACATGAGTTCCTCTTTGTATATAGAAAATCAAAAAAATAAACAGCGGGCGCAGCCAGGTTTTGGTGTTTGGGTTAATTTCCATGTATCGATGTTCAACTTTTCGCAATGGGAAGGAAGGTAGCTTCACACAACAAGGGACATACTTTAGCACTTTAGCGTGATAACTGTGTTGGCTGTAAGAGATATTATCCCATTATCATGTCTGTGGTGGTTGATGATATCAGTGCTCTTTTGGAAGAGTTACAAATCGATGGTGGCGGCGCTAATGGGCCAGTGCCTCCGTGTACTACAACGTCATACAAACAAGAGCAAATAGCCACTGTTGAGGACCAACTGAAGTCTCACTTCCTGAACCCCTCGAACTCGTTGCCGTGGGACCTACTGGATGTTATGCAAACGGTTCCAGATATGGACAGTGTGCAGATGTATGATTCTCTGTTACAATTACCAGATCGGGTCTCCAGGCTACAGTATAGGCTCAAACGTCAGGGCATCGAAGGTAAAGTCCATACCTATGCCGAAGAGGTTAACCGCTCAGATGTGGCCAATTCAAATGCTGCTACATCTATCAGTATTAATAGAGCGTATGGAGAGTCTCAATCTTTGAGAGGTTCCACGTCGCAATTGCCCTTCCAACCTGGTGGAATACAACTGAAAAATGCGGTAAAGGACTCAACAGCATTGTTACATAGGGATTCAGACGGGCTGTTCGACATCCCACTAGGTCTTTCTAGAGGACTGTATGTTGGCGGAGGTTCTCTTAACGACTTGGATGAGCTTGAAAATGTGGCTGATGATGATGAGCCAAACGAAGATGAAGAGTTACAGGAGGGTGTACCACTAAGTTCTGTCCAGCAATCACAGGCCAAATCTTCAGGATTTGAGAAGGAGATTGATGAACTACTACCAATTGACATAAATTTTGGAAGAAGTTCTATGATCAATAAGGATGACCTGGTGGTGAAGAAAGAATGGGCGCATATGGTTGATTTAGATCACAAGATTGAAAACTTCCACGAGCTGATTCCAAATATGGCCCGTAAGTGGCCTTTTGAATTGGATGCATTTCAGCAGGAGGCTGTTTATCACTTGGAACAAGGTGACTCCGTGTTTGTTGCTGCACATACATCTGCTGGTAAAACTGTAGTTGCTGAATATGCTATTGCAATGGCTAAACGAAACATGACCAAAGCCATTTACACGTCTCCAATTAAGGCCTTGTCCAATCAGAAGTTTAGAGATTTCAAAGAGACGTTCCCTGAAGTTGACGTGGGCTTGATCACTGGTGATGTTCAGATAAATCCAGAGGCTAACTGTCTCATCATGACCACTGAGATCTTGAGATCGATGCTGTACCGTGGTGCAGATCTCATCCGTGATGTCGAGTTTATCATTTTTGATGAAGTTCACTATGTGAATGATATAAGTAGAGGTGTTGTGTGGGAAGAGGTGATTATTATGCTTCCAGATCATGTCAAGTATATCTTACTTTCTGCCACTGTTCCGAATACCTATGAGTTTGCAAGTTGGATTGGAAGAACCAAACACAAAGATATATATGTTATCTCTACACCAAAGAGACCTGTTCCATTAGAGATCAACCTCTGGGGAAAGTCCAAGTTGACAAAGGTTATTGACGCTGATAGAAAATTTTTGGATTCGAATTATAACGCTTACATTGAAATGTTTGAAGGCAAGAAGAAACCTCGACAAGGAGAAAACGCAGCCAATGGTACTCGTGGTGGCCGTGGTGGTGCTAGAGGTGGTCGTGGTGGAGCTGCAACTGGTAGAGGTGGTAGAGGTGGCTCACAAGGTGGTAGAGGTGGCCGTGGAGGTCAAGGAGCCGGCAATGGACCAAACAGAAGAGGCTTCCAGATGAGTCAACCTAATAAAAACACATGGCCAGAGCTTATCCATTATCTCAACTCCAATGCACTGTTACCAGCTGTTATATTCGTGTTCTCAAAGGCTCGTTGTGAGCAGTATGCCAATACTCTAGGTGGAATTGACTTCTGTAATGCTAAAGAAAAATCGCAGATTCATATGTTCATTGACAAGGCAGTTGCAAGGTTGAAAAAAGAAGACAGGGAGCTCCCACAAATCATGTCAATCAGAGACTTTTTGAGTCGTGGTATCGCTGTTCATCATGGTGGTTTGTTGCCAATTGTGAAAGAAGTCATTGAAATCTTGTTTGCAAAATCATTGGTCAAAGTTCTTTTCGCAACAGAGACGTTTGCAATGGGTTTGAACTTACCAACAAAGACGGTTGTGTTCAGTGAATTGAGAAAGCATGACGGTATCAATTTCAGAAACCTCCTTCCAGGTGAGTTCACTCAAATGGCTGGTAGAGCAGGTCGTAGAGGTCTGGATACTATTGGAACAGTTATAATCATGTCTTACACTGAAGCAATGGCTAGACCTACAATCAAAGACGTGTGCTTGGGAACAGCTACAAAGTTGGTTTCTCAATTCAGACTGACTTATAATATGATCCTGAATTTGCTTAGAATCGAAGCTCTGAGGGTGGAAGAAATGATTAAGCATTCCTTTTCTGAGAATACAACACAGGCTTTGCTTCCAGAACATGAGAAAAAGATCAAGTCCCTGGAGGATGAATTGAACAATCTGCCTCCTCTAGTGATCCAAGATCCCTTCACCGAGGATGATCTCAAAGAGGTTTTCGAGGATCTGATTAAGTACAAAGATTTGACACGCTCTCTCATCAAGGAGAGTATGAACTCTGCTCTGTTCTTCAAACAGCTTAAACCTGGTAGAGTGATTGTTTTCAAAGACAACAAGGGTCTCTCCCGTATAGGTGTGATCTATAAACGTAAAGACCATTCTGAGCCATACAACTTTGTCGTTTTGGTTTTCGATATGGGTGCTGCAGAATTGCAAGAGGCTACAGGTATTCCATATGTATCGTCTTTGAAATCATTCATCCGTTCTAACTTTACGCCAATGACCTATAACGGTGATTTGAGGTTTGAACAGGTCTCATTGGAACAACTGGAGCTCGTGATCACGTATTATATCAACGTCTTTGATCTAGGGAAGAAGGACTCAGATGCTCTTGAGAAGTTTGAGAGTAATATCAACTTGGCATTGAAGTTTCAGGAACGTTTTAAAGAGATTGATTGGAGTGCGTTTGGTACTTTGAAAATCAATGAGCTTATCCAAGAGAGAACAGACTTAATTCAAAAGATTAAGGGCAGTCCGTGTATTAAATCCAAACATTTCACAGAGTACTTTGCCTCTCTGAACAAGAAAAAGTCCATCCAAGATGAGATTGCACTTTATAACTCCTTATTGAACGATGAGAATCTTGAATTGCTTCCAGACTATGAGCAGAGGTTGGCAGTGTTGAAGGAACTGGATTTTGTTGATGAAAATTTGAACGTGAAGCTCAAGGGTCGTGTAGCATGTGAAATCAACTGTGGATGGGAACTAATTCTAACTGAGCTGGTGTTGGATAATTTCCTTGGAGATTTTGATCCTGAAGAGATCGTGGCACTTCTCTCTGCATTCGTTTACGAGGGTAAAAGTTCTCAAGAAGAGGAACCAACTATCACACCTCGTTTGGAGCGTGGTAAATCCAAAATTCAGGACATCATGGGTCAGATGATGGACGTCTTTGAGAGACATCAAGTCACACTTACTTCTGAAGAGCAAGATTTCTTACAGAGGAACAGATTTGCCCTTGTGAATGTTGTTTATGAATGGGCTAGAGGGATGACATTCAAAGAGATTATGGAACTAAGTATAGAAGCTGAGGGAACGATTGTGCGAGTTATAACACGTCTCGATGAAATTTGTCGTGAAGTGAAATCCGCTGCTCTGATAATTGGTGATTCATCATTACACGCAAAGATGAGCGAGGCCCAAGAGAAGATCAAGAGAGATATTGTCTTCGCAGCAAGTTTATACTTATAATCTCAAGGCTGTCGCACTACGTTAAATATCGTCATAGATAGTCATCATCATTAGTGCATAAAGCCTCAAGACTTTGCAGCTATTTCAAAGATATTTCTTCTACTTGAGAACACCTTTTGTTGTAGAAATTCCTGTGCTGATTTTTTTCCAAACTTATACGCGATTATTCCAAGCAGTATAAATAACGAGCTCTGAACCATTTTGTAAGGAGTTGATTGTCCTGTAGACGTCACCACACTATCTGAGTATCCCTTGCCTGAGAGGAACCTGCTCAATGTTGATTGTTTTTGTAGTTTCTTGTGTGTTGCACTAGAGAAGATATCTAGTGCATCAGACGCATTCTCAGCTCCAACCTCCAAAGTTGCCTTTGTTCTTTCCAAGTTGTACAAGCTCCACCCCAGCATCTCCAGAGATTTGCTGTCTATGTTGACTGTCTCACCTGAGTCTTGTTTCACTGTGATGGAATGCGTTTTAGATGGGTACAGGGTCATGAGTAGAAACTCGTCCTGTAGTTCAAGAGGGTCTATAAACTTTCTTATATTCTGTAACCTTTGCCGAGTGCTCTTTGACAACTTCTGGTTCATGTTGATCTTTGTAGTGAGCCTCTCGGTATCATACGGCACTGGCGAGCCAGTTGGTACTTGATGACTTCTTAGTGGCATCTGTGCTCCAGCGACTGCCATAGCTAAAGTACGATATCCTCTGCAATTATGACCTGAGCTTCGTTCGGTTACTCTGTAGAGCACATTGTAACATCTTGCAATCATCATCGGCTCTGTAGGAGATGATCTTTGTTGTCTATCTATCCAGCTTTAGTGATTTGATTACCATCACAGTTTCTGATTGGCCCGAGAAATATTTCAAGCGGGAATCGCCGGTTAGGACAACATACTCATCTCTCTAGTTGAAATTTTTCCAGATTATGTCTCTGCTGTGTGATGATGAGTGGGTATTAAAGCTGGTGGTTTGTAGTGGGAAGTGGTGAACGCAATGAGTTCCAAAGCCTCTAAGGGGACACCGAAGAAGAAATCGGCTGGCGACGAGCCGGAACAGGCAAAGGCCTCGAAGGTGAAAGTTCCTCGCTCTTTCATCACGAGACCAAGCCCAAACTTCAACGCCAAATCATGTGTCAAGGTTCTGCTGCATCCTTCGATATTAAAAGCCATTGACATCTTACCTGGCTCATTGGTGCATGCTGCTAGAGAAGGAGACGGTGCCGGTATTTTGGCACAGGTCAGTCCAGCAGACTCAGGCTGTCCTTTCAATGTGATCCAAGTTTCTGCCGGTTTAAGGACGGTGTGCAACTTTCTCCTTGGTGATAGATTAGAGATTTCCAAGATTGAAAGTCAACCTCCATACGCTATGAATATCACCATAGGTACTCTTTCAGGGATCAAATTGCACGACCGTGCTCGAAAGACCGTGGAGAAGTTGTTAGAAGATGTTGGTATCGTCATGCCAGGGTTGACGCTATACAAAGTTGGTATACCGAGTGAAGTGGAAGGTGAGGAAAAGACGTTTGAGGACTTGATCATCACACAGGTTGATGATCATCCAGATATTTCCAGTCTAAAGATCCAAGACGATGGTGCACAGCAAAACACTGATGACGGTGCATTCCAAAGGTTTGTATCTCCTCCTCTCCTGTTCAAGAGGGGGTCGACTATACTCAATTTCACAGATGAGAGTGAACCACACTCAAGGTATAACTTGCCAAAGAAAACTACATACTCACAGATTGGTGGTTTGGTCAAGGAGATAAAGGATCTGAAATCTGCAATTGAATTGCCCTTGCATCATCCTGACTTCTTTGCAAGATTTGGAACCAATCCACCTAGAGGCGTACTCTTACACGGACCACCTGGTACCGGTAAAACGATGCTTCTAAGAGCAGTTGCTGCTGAGACCAATGCACACGTGCTCAGCATTGATGGACCATCGATTGTATCTAAATACCTCGGTGAGACAGAGTCCAAGCTGAGAGATTGCTTCAATGAAGCAAGAAAGTACCAGCCTGCGATCCTCTTCGTGGATGAAATCGACTCCCTTGCACCAAGTAGAGATAGTGATAATTCAGGTGAAGCTGAAAGCCGAGTTGTTGCTACGCTTTTGACGTTAATGGACGGTATCGGGAGCAATGGACGTGTCGTCATTGTAGCTGCTACCAACAGGCCAAACTCAATTGATATTGCGTTGAGAAGACCAGGAAGATTCGACAGAGAGGTTGAAATTGGTATTCCAGATATTGAAGCACGCCATTCCATTCTCAATTTGTATCTGAATAGGATCAAATATCATACACTCTCAGCTGATGAGATTTCCAATATTGCATCAAAGACGCATGGATACGTCGGTGCAGACATTGCATCTCTCTGCGAGCAAGCAGTGTCAAAGGTCTATCAGCGTATGAAGGATCAAGACATGGACCTGGACAACTCGTTTGTTACCTTGGAAGATTTCGAACAATCTCTGATTGACATTCGTCCTTCTGCTATGAAAGAGATCTTCCTCGAAACACCAAAGGTGTACTGGAGTGATATTGGTGGTCAAGAACAGTTGAAGAGGACTTTCAAAGAGGTTATAGAGCTTCCTCTTGAAACACCTGATGGGTTCAAAAGACTTGGAATCAAACCACCAAAGGGTGTATTGTTATACGGACCACCAGGTTGTTCTAAGACATTAGCTGCAAAGGCATTGGCCACTGAGTCGGGTGTTAACTTCCTCACTATAAAGGGGCCAGAGATCTTCAACAAGTATGTCGGTGAGTCTGAGAGAAAGATTAGGGAGATCTTCCGCAAGGCCAGGGCAGCAGCTCCTAGTATTCTGTTCATAGATGAGATTGATGCTCTTGGAGGTGACCGTGGCGATGACTCGGGCCACTCAACTAGCGCATCCAGTAACGTACTGACCTCCCTATTGAACGAACTCGACGGTGTTGAAGAGTTGAACGGTGTCGTCGTCGTCGGCGCAACTAATAGACCTACAGAAATCGACCCAGCACTATTACGGCCGGGAAGACTGGATTCTCACATCTACGTTGCGCCACCGGACCACGGAGCAAGACTGGAGATCCTGAAGAAACAAACGAGCAAAATGCAGTTACAAGATGTTGATCTAGAAGAGTTGGCGTGCCAACTCGAAGGCTGTTCCGGTGCAGAAGTGGTCAACCTCGTCCAGAAAGCCGGAACCACCGCACTCGCTGAAGACAGAGACGCCACCAGTGTTCTCAAGAGACACTTCGACATTGGACTGGCTTCTCTTTCAAGAGGTATCACACAGGAAATGTTGCAGTACTTCGAAGAGTTTGCCCAAGGACGTGGATGATTATATAGATATTGTACTATAAGAGGAAGCGCCCTGTTGTTTGTGTGGGTGTCTGGATGTTTTAATTTTTGTAAACAAAGGAAATCTTCACAGAGTGATCTTCACTGTTTTGAACCACCTTCAGGACGGTTAAGGAGCCTAGAAGAAGACGATGACTAGGGAGATACTTGAGAAGCCCGTTGTTCTCATTCCTGAGATCTTTGAAGATAACTATTCGCCCGATGAAGAAGTTTTCTCGTTAATGTAAGTGTGGGAGGCTCTGCCTGACACAAGGACGAAGGACACACAGTACTAACCATACTGCTTCGAAGATACGACTTACCCAAGTCAGTGAGGTCGATGGACTGGAACGGTGATCTGCTGGCATATGCGACAGATACGGGTGTTGGCGTGTTGACGCCCATTCCTCGTGATTCACCACTGGCGAAGAATTTACCAAGTGATCTACAACAAGAGTGGTGTTTCCAAGTGACTAATGTTCTGACCACGAGTCCCGTCACTCATCTGCGATTCACCAGTAAGTTCTTGGTTATGTGCCAGGAAAATAGGGATATTATAGTTATGGATCATTTGGACGGAAAGAAACATTCTGTCTCTGGTGCAGACCGCCATTTGGAGGATATCAATAGCATTGACGTTTCAGAGGATGGCCATATCGTTTCTTGTGGTGACGACCGCCGTGTTGTAGTCTGGGGACCAAATGGAAGCACAAGGGTGAAATATCTTGACGGTGTACCAACCCTCGTGAAGTTTTGGACGGACAAAGATCTTGATAAAGTTATCGTTGTTGAAGATGGGTCTAAAGTGAAGGTTTGGAATTGGCGTAAGGATGAGTGGCTTTACACCATCTACCCTGAGTGTTTCATCCCAGGCACCCCACCAAGCATATTGGACATTGTCACCAATGACGGAAACATCACAGTCATTGGCGATGGCTCGTGGAAACAGTACGTACCAGCGGAATTGGAAGGAGGAGCTGGTTATACTTTTCCAAACTCTCAAGGTAGGCTCAAGGGATGGGGTGTTAACAAGTGCCAATACCTCTCCTCCACGAGCAATTGTGGCTTAATTGGAGGTGTGGGCACCGACAGATCCTTCTTCTACAACTTATTTGGCGATAACTCTGGCCATGTTTATCAGTTCAAGTTGCAATTGCCTTGTGTCTCAGTGCCAGCTGGTTCCATCAACCATAACGGCGTGGTGGCATTTGCATCTGGTTCCAGACTTGTACTGATAAAGCCCTTCGAAACGTATGAGGCAGTTGTATAAACAAATTCTATCTCGTAATGGATGCTCATATATAGTGCGTATTGTAGAAATCTCCGAAGATCATGAAAATTTACTGTATACGCCGATTTCATTCACCTTTTCCACCTTAGAATCGGTCAAATAAAAGCAACAAACCACCGAAAATGGGTAGAATCAACATGTTCAACGCCTCCGTCATCATTCTTACATCGTTTGTTGGTGTATGGACCGGTGAGTCACCAGTTTGAGCACTATTCGTCTGGCTCCATGCTAACATCCCCCCCCCACCAGGCGTGAGATTCTTCGAACCAATCGTGGTGTACGTATCTCTCTTCCGTACTCTCTAATCTCTACTAACAACGTCCTCTCTTCCCACCAACGATATAGCGAAAAGTTAAGAGAAGATGGTGCCCTTCGACAAGATATGAAATTCCCCAAGTATGATGAGAATGGTGATCCAATCCTCCCAGAAGGTGTTAAGCAACCCGAAAGTTTGATGGACGTTCTTACATTTGATCCAAACAAAGCTGACAAGGATGAATGATCACAGCACTATGTCTACTCATCTCTATCTACGTGTATATACATTTAATATCTGAAATTCTCTATATAAAAGGGTAGATATTCATACAAAAACACTCACTGTTAATCCCCATGAAGCCCATACAGAGGGGAGCTCATCGCCTGGTCCGTCCAGATCTTCCCCCCCCCCCACCATAAGAAAAAAAAATTTCTCGAGAGGGTTTCATCCTCATCACAACCAAATTACAGCCTAAGAACAGAGACATTTTGAAGCAATGGGTAAGCTCAAGAAAAACTCCAGATCATCAAGACATCGTTCCAATCCATTGGCTGTCTCTCGTAAAGCGACGTCGAGTAAACAGGATGAACAACTCACAAAGAATAAGATCCTACCTCTCATTGCTAAGCTGAAGTCCACAACGCCTAATGAGAAGTCCATGGCGCTTGGGTCCATCGCCGTGATGAGTGATGATCCAAAGTTCCGTAAGTTGTTACTTAAGGAGAGATTGGTTCAAATAGTCCTGGAACAGTGTCTCACTGACTCCAACTCTGAGATTGTCGTTGAATCCTTTGGGCTGTTGAGAAATTTGGTGTTGGAGGAAGGTTATGACGTTGCTGTGTACCTGTGGAGACAGAACATTTGGAGGGTGATTCAGGATAATTTGAACAAATGTGTCAAGGGATGGCACGTCTATAAGGTGGACGCAACATCTTTGGATAAGGTTGCCAAGTCGTTGTTGTTTGATATGATTGAGAATCTGATCTCTTTAATTGTCGGGTTGTGTGATTCAAGTGACGACATATTCAATGCTGTTATGAAGGAGATGAACTCACTCAGAGAATTCTTGAAGGATATCCTTGCGGTCGCATTGGACTTCAAGAACAAAGAACTGAAGATAACAGTATCTCTGTTCAACGCGATCTTGGATCTCATCTACGATTTCAGTACCATTAGCGATGAGTTTGTTCAAAGTTTGACAAGCGAATGGGACTTGAACTTTGAGTTACTCGAAACCTTTGTGAATGAGGTTCCTAGATTCACAAACTTGTCTAGAGTGTATATTCAAGGTATTAGATTGCAGCTTGTTGACATTTCAGACCAATCTGCATTTGTTCAGATAGTTGCAAAGATCTTGGGAACATTGACCACAATTGACATAGGTTTAAACAGAGATATAATGTTGAAAGAGATCGATAATGGGAAGTTGGATGAACTGAAGATGGATGCAAAGAAAAGAGTTGATGCGAGGGCAGAGTTCCAAACTGTGGAATTGTCCCTCGAACTTCTCACTGCAATGATTGAGCTCATCTCGTATAATGACTCACTTGATGCCGAATTGGCCAACGCGCTATGTACTCAAGTGCGAGACGTGTTAATTGCGCTGATTCCACATTTGGAGTTTAGATCAAGAGCTTTGACTGCATTGAATAATTTGTCATGGTTGTTCGTATCAATTCAAGTTCCACAATGGACCTCAATTGCCCAACAGATATGGGTAGAGCTCTCCCAGTTGGATCTCTCTCAATGTGATGTTGAAGAAAAGACCTCTATATTTGGATGTCTATGGGCAATTTTAAACGTTGTTCCGCTTGAACTGGACTCTTCCTTCGTACAATCTCTATGTCAAGAGTTGGACTCCAACTCATCTTCCTCGGACAATGTTGAATATTCGATTCGCTTAGTTGGAGTGCTATCCATGTTGGCAAAGCAACAAGGCCAAGTGGAAAGAAACCTGTTGATTTCTCAACTGTTGTTCAATCTGTTAGAGAGTGATAAGACACCTTCCAGACTAACATTTGAAATTCTTGATCAGCTCTACGACATTTATGGTGATTCTTTGTACGATTACAACACCCCAGTCTTTGTATCTCAGTGTTATTTGAAGAGATTGGAGCAGCTTGCTCCAAGGGTGAAGACCAGTTTCAAACTTGTCGACAAGAATGTTGATAAGGAGTTCAAATTGAAGGCTGAGGAGATCTACAACAACCTGGGCAGATTCATCGACTACAAGAAGAGTGAGGTATAGTAATAGATTATATGTATGTACTTTTACACGTATACTAAAGGCAAACGTTTGTGTTCGTTTCGCTCGTAGGAACAGGGCTTTAACCAGCTTTGGCGTACTTCTTTGCCTGCTCTATCACCTTCTTTTCGTAAAGAGCACGATCTTTACCGAATGCTCTCCAAGCCGGTTCCTGTGCTGGGGAATCCGGGTTTGGTGTATCCAATAGTTCTTGTACGCCTAACAAGATCTGTTTCAAGTTGATACCAGGTCTCCAATCTTGGTCCTCGTTCAATATCGAAAGACAGATGGTTCCAGAGGGGTAAACGTTAGGGTGGTAGAACCCAGCTGGGAGCCTTACCTTCGGCGGTTTCGAAGGGAAATCGTTGGGGAATGTGATCGTCAATGGATAAGTGGCGTTTTCCCAGATGGTATTGTCCTTTCCTGGGACACCAGCTGTCCAGCTCTGTAAATTCAACGACCCATCTGCACTCTTTTCAGGTTTAGCGAAGAACCCGTACGGGTGGTCCTTCCGCCACTGCTTTCTCTCCTCCTGGAGACGGTTCTTCAACAAAGAAGACATCGGTTGTTGGTGTGGTTGGTGTTGTTGTTGTCTTCGTCGTTGTTGTTTTGGTTTTTGTAGGCCGTAAAACTCGCGATGTTGTTACCGCTGATGTTGGCGTTTGTTAGCGGTGCGTACAAAAGCTCTCAGTGCCGGCGCGCGCTCGCTGGACGGTGCGAGGTTGGGTGGTGGTGGTGGGGCCTCTGCCAGTTTTCCTTCCGCTGATTTTTGTCCCAGCACCGCTCGGCGGTCCAACTTTGTGTGTGCATTGCTGACCGTTTGGCTGGGTTTGTTGTGCCTGGAACCGAGATGGGGGGATTTTTTTGCAGCAAACCGGAGAATTGTTATGGAGGCAGACGAAGAACACCGTCCTAGCGGTACGAACAGGAGGACCAGTACACCCGGTGAGAAGCAATGGCTGACGATTTAGACGATTTGGATGACTATCTGGATGAGTTCCAAGATGAAGTTTTCGCAGAGACGGACGCCAAAGAAAAGACACAATCTACGCAAGAATCTAAAGAGAGTGGTGGTGACAATGCCACTTCTGCTGCCACGGCGGAGAATCTGAAGGACACAATTGAGGAGACGCTAAATAGGCTCAAGACGAAAGTTGACCCCAATGGTAAGAACGTGGATGAGGAATTGGAGGAGATGATGCAGAACATGTCATTGGATGACGACATCTCAAAGGCGTTAATGGAGAGTATGGGTGTGCTAATGTCCAAATCTATGATGTATGAGCCATTGAAATCGCTATCGGTGAAGTACCCTGATTGGCTGGACAAGAACAAGGATACGTTGGAACCCAAGGAATACGAAAGGTACCAGCTGCAATATAACATCGTTAATGACATTGTAAGTAGATTTGAAAAAGAGGACTACGACGATACGAAGGATTTTGAGTACATATCTGGTAAACTGGAAGAGATGGAGACAACTGGTAACGTACCAGATGAATTGGCAGACTCGAAACTGGGTGATTTGAGTAACGTTGAGATCAAAGATGAAGATCTGGAAGGTTGTGCACAGCAGTGATCCCTTATAGCCATCTCCAATCAAAATGCTTGGTTCCATAATCAGTGTAGCCCGCACGTCCCCGAGGCTAAGCGGGCCTGGTTAAGCGGGCGTGGTGTCCGGATGCGATGTTTGTTTACAATTCGGAAAAGCTCACCACCCCCGTCCTTCCCCCTCCACGGCGGCTAATCGTTTGTTTACCAGCGGTACATTATCATTGTTTACGAAAATAAATAGAGGAAAGCGTCTGAAGTTTGCTCCTTGAAGCCATGGGTGAGTATCTACACAATGGTTTTCTCTGTAAGCCGTTACTAATCGTTGTGGAACACGACAGATGCCTCGATTGTTAAGAGGTTGAACGATAGAGTGTACGATAAGAGAAAGAATGCCGCTAAGGAGCTGGAAGAACAGGTGAAAGTGTTTGTAAAGACTGATCCAGACAAGATCAATGCGATCATTGGTCAGCTGTCGAAGGACTTTGCATATGCTGTTCATAAGCCCGATGCTCGTAACGGTGGACTGATTGGACTGGCTGCAACGGCGATCGCACTGGGGCAGCAAGAGCTGGCTCAGCATTTGGACGATATCATCCATCCTGTCCTCGCGTGTTTTGGCGATCAGGATGCTCAAGTAAGGTACTATGCAAGTGAGTCGCTGTTCAACATTGCAAAGGTTGCAAGAGGTGAGATCTTGAGATACTTCAATGAGATCTTTGACGTTCTATGTAAACTTAGCGCGGACTCGGACGTGAGCGTCAAAAGCGGTGCAGACCTCCTGGATAGGTTGATTAAAGATATTGTCCATGATAATGCGTCAAGCTATATCTCGATCATACCAATGGATCCAGAGGGGGATTATAAAAGGGCAACACAAGCGACGTATACTTCAAATGGAGAGACTTTGCAGTTCCAGCCTCAACAGAATGCAAGGGCGTTTTCATTGCCGAAATTCATACCGCTTCTAATGGAGAGAATTAACACAATCGATCCATTTACAAGGGTATTTCTCGTCTCCTGGATCACAACGTTGAACGCTGTGCCAGACCTCGAATTAGTGTCTTATTTGCCAGCGTTTCTAGGCGGATTGCTGAATTTCCTGGGTGATTCACACACAGATGTGAGGGTAATTACTCAAAGTGCCTTGGACCTTTTGCTCCATGAGATTAGAAGAATATCAGAGATTCAAAAACTTGTGGAACAAAACATGGCACAATCCTCGAATGCAAACAGTGATGATGAAGGTGATGAAAAGAATGTAAACGATGACTCTTTACTCAAACACAATGGTGAACTGTACATCCCTGGTCAAGATGTACGTTTGGACTATCCAAAGATCCTGGAAATTTTGATTTCTCACATAGATGCCTCAGATGCAAAGATTCAAATCGTTGTTCTTAATTGGCTTGAATCGTTATTGGAGATCTCTCCAATGTCCTTCATTCCCTACCTATCCAAATTGTTATCCGTGATATTGTTGACAATGGCAAATAACGATAATTCAACGCTAAAACAGAACTCAAAAGATTTCAATTCGGCATTGATGGAGTTAATTAAAGACCTTGGTGAAGCAGAAGAAAAGAGGTTGAATTATTCGTCAACGATTAACCAACTCACGTCACATTTTTTAAACGAAAATGAAGAAACAAAGATGGCCGTCTTAGATTGGCTCAAGATGCTTTATCAGAAATCACCAGAACAGCTATTAACAAGAGGCGATGAGTTGTTCACCGTCTTATTAAAAGCGTTGTCCGACTCAAACGAACAAGTCATACATAAAGATTTACAATTGCTCTCTGAAGTTTCTCATTCAAGCGATGATAAAAGCTTTTCATACATAATGGTGAACCTCCTAGATCTCTACAAAAAAGATCAAAGGCTTCTGGAGACGAGAGGAAACTTCATCTTGAGAAAGCTCTGTATTTCTTTGGACCCTGTAAGAGTATACCAAACTTTGGGGAATGCACTGGAAAATGAGAAGGATATCACATTTGCAAGTATCATCATTCAGATTCTGAACAACAACTTAATCACTGCTCCAGAATTGTCTCCGCTAAGACGAAAACTTCGTAAAAACGATGACAACTGGGTTCTGTTTACAAGCTTATTCAAAGCTTGGTGCCATAATGCACCCGCAACTTTGGCATTGTGTCTATGGGCACAAGCGTACGAGTTAGCATATGCGGTGTTACAGATTTTTGTTGAGTTTGAGATTACTGTAAATACGTTGGTGCAGATTGATGTACTTGTTCAACTTTTAGAATCGCCAGTTTTCACAAGGGTAAGACTTCAACTTCTGGAACCAGAGAACCACCCATATTTGTACAAATGTCTCTACGGTATCTTAATGGTTCTACCTCAGTCGTCTGCCTTCTCTACTCTAAAGAACAGGTTGAACAGTGTTAACGTTATCACCAGTTTCCCACAAGTTGGACAAGAACGTTTAGATGATACGAGCTCCTTGAAATCAACTCATCACTGGGATGATCTCCTAAATAAGTTTAGCAAAGTTCAACAGTTGAAAGAGGATCAAGTCTTGGAGAACGCAACTTCAATTAACAACGTCAAGAACTTGCCCAAATATGATGTATCAACGCCATCTGTGGAATTGAGAACACCAACCGCAGACACTGATCAGTCGCTCAGTACACCAAAGCCAAAGGATTTGAAAAGTGCAGTGCGCAAAATATCAGGAAGGTCGTTCGTTCTTAAAGGATTCGGAGGTGATCGTTAAATCTACAGATATGTGACAGGTATAGAAGAACCTCATTGAAAACCTCAACCACCAAGCATTTGATCTCTGAAATGTGCTTGGAAGTTGACCCTTTTTTTAGTTTCCTTTCTTATAATTTTATTCTGGTCTCTCATCTCTATCAATTTTGGCTGTAGAATCTCCTTCTTGTACTCCATAGCTGTCAACTGACCAAACCTCTTATCAGCCGATGCCACTGTTAGTTGGGACTCTGTTGGAGGACGTGGTGATGGGATATGCTGTCTGTAGATCCTCTGCAACGATCTGTGACCCAGCCTTGAACCATTGGGCAAGTTCAACTCTGAAATCACCGGATCAATGGTGGCAATTGTGTAATTGTCATTCATACCGTTATCATCGCTGTCTTCACTTTGACTTCCTTCAGTTGGTGTATCAGCTTCACTATCCTCCTGGAATCCAACTTTCTTCTTTGACGATGATTTAACAGCGACTGCTTCAGTGCTGGAAAAGTCATAAAAGTCTGCGAATCTTGCCCTTTCCTCTTTAGACTCATACGGTAGTCGACAATGACCCTTCGATGTGACATGAGCTCTAATGCTCTCCAAGTTTTTACCTTGGAAATTGCAACATAGACATTCATTCTCAATGACAATGACAGAGATCAAGTACTCCAATAACCCCTTGAGATCTACTAAATATGACCGCTCAGGAATGTACAGGCCATGGCTCTTAAACATATGTGTAACGTTCTGTTCCAGCTCATTATGAGCCACTCCACAAAAGATACAGCTCGTGATTGGCTGCAATGGCTCTTCAACAAATTCGTCATCGCTCTGCAAGTTATCACTGTCATAGTCATCGGAGTAATCTTGGTCATCGTTATAATCCTCGTCGTCGGACTGCGTAGCCAGTTCAGATCCCGTATCAAAGTTACTGTCCACATCTGTATGTGTAGCAGGATGCGAATACACAGATTCTCCCATACTTAAGTGAGAGAAATCACTGGTGACACTAGCAGGGCTCACTCCTCTGTCTTCCAAATGGTCCTTGTGGAATCCATGAGAGATCTGGGAGATACGGCCTCTTGGATGGTGTTTGTTGATATGAAGACTCTTATCCTTTGGCTTTAAGACCTTAAATCCAAACTCGTCTGTTTCTTCCTGGTACTTCTGTGACTGCTGGACCTTCTCAGCATAGATAGCAGCATCCACAGGTGGCAAACCTGCAACTCTTCTTTTGAGGTTATACCTGTGCCAATCTGTCTTCATGTGGTATCTCTGCGCATCAGAATTCGGGAACTGGATAGAGCACGAGTTACACTTGAAGAAAGATGACGATGTTGTTATAGCACTAGCATCCATTTTAGACCTTTTATCGTTCTAAGCTCACCATAACTACTGTTCTTGTACTCCATCAATAGCCAGACGACCAATTTAAGTCCGGATAGTCTGGTACGGACACGTCCAATAGCTTTAGCGGATTTCAACAGCTCATTGAGTATTCAGCTACAAGGCCCAATAGGAAGGCATTCTACAAGTCAGTGGTATACATAACCTTTTTGTGTAGATTAAAACATGTTCGATATGAAACGATCAACCAGCATTAGCAGCAAATAGAAGTTTTCTTAACGGTACTTGTTGAAACCAATGTCCTTGGCCTTCTCTCTGAAACATTGACGACACAAGTTCAAACCGTACTTTCTGATCAAACCAGTGTGAGAAGAACAGACTCTACATTGACGAGAACCCTTACCGTAGTTTCTTGGGTGGGAGAACCAAACGTTTTCGTGAGCCATTTTGCTATAGTCCTTGAGTTAGTATTCTGGCACTCGAAAATTGACTGTGCGGGTGAAAGAAGAGGTCGATTTCCATGGTCTGCTATGTGTCCTTGAAGTAGCGTTGGTCCTTAGAGGGTGTGTCCTATCTCACCTCCATGGATTGTTCTTCTTTATTCACTATATTCAAACATCATTTGGCTTTCCTTTCGACTGTCTTCACGTCTGTGGTCTATTGTCTGGTATCCGTCACTAATACAACACGTTCTTGCTGGTCTTTCATGGATATACCTCTTATAGACCAAATATATCTCTCGCTCTCTCTTTCAAACCCGCATGTCATCACTTTCCACTCACATTAACTGATGTCTTAACCTTTTGGTGTTGGTAAACTAAACCTGCTACTGAGTCTGTTCGATGTTTGAATTGTTCAGTTTGTTGAAAGAGTCCCACACACACAGCGCGCGCCAGGGAGTGCCACTGGCGGGCTCATAGCAAAAATTTCGCGGAAGCCCAACTGAAAAATTTTCATCGTCACAGCGAGGAAAAACCTATGCTGCCCTATGTGTAGTCACGTGTATGTTTTAGGGCTTGAGCGATGACCTGGTTGTGAGCCCTGCTTTCTCATGCATTTTATTCGATGAAATTTTTACTGCGGTATCAATTGAGAAACTAATATTGGAGGTTTTGCTACAAGACATTGACTCTACAAGCTCGTTAGCTAACTACAATGGCTGGTCATTCGCATAGATCAACCGTTAAGAACGGTCACAAACCATTCAAGTCAAAACACGCATCGAAGGGCTCAATAAAGGCGAGATATAAGGGTAAAATTGAAAAGACATCTAGTGTTCAAAAGGTCAAAAAGGGACACTCCAAACTTGAAAGAAAGAATTTGGCCAGACAATTGAGAGATCAGAAGATTCTCCAAACGTCAGAGAGTAGGAAACTATTTGAGGGATCTAATGGTGCGGAAAAAATCATCACTGTGATTCCATTGACTGAGGATGTGTCTGCAGAGTCAATCGTAAATGAGTTGATCGATGCTGCTGCTTTGCCAGGACAAGATAAGTCCATGATCCAATCACCTTCCGTTACCTCAGTAAAGATCCAAAAGTTCAAAAGTAACTTAAAGTTCATCATCCCTGATTTTAACGATTTCATCTCCATCTTGGACGCTGCTAAGGTGGCTGACTTTGTCGTTTTCGGTCTCTCTGGTACATCTGAAGTGGAACAGGAATATGGTGAACAGATCATCAGAGCCTTAGAACTACAAGGTATTGGCTACACAATGGGCGTGGTGAACAACCTGTCTAAAGTTCATCCAAAGGAGAAATTCCAGGCAGATGTCAAACAGTCTCTTGAGAGTTATTTCAAACATTTCTTCCCAACTGAAGAAAAGATCTACAATTTGGAAAATGCGTCCGATTCATTGATAGCAATCAGAACGTTGTGCCAGAAGTTCCCCAAATCAATAACATGGAGAGATTCCAGAGGCTGGTTAGTTGCTGACCAAGTCTCATGGGAACCTACAAATCCAGCTGTGTCTCATGAAGGTTTGGTTAAAGTGGAAGGTATTGTTAGAGGTATTGGTTTCAACGCAAACAGATTGATTCACATTCCAGGTCAAGGAGATTTCCAAATTGAACGTATCGAGAAGATTACGAGATCCGAAGTTGAAGGATTCACTCCTAATGAAAACCAGGAGTCGCTGGAGGAATTGGCTCCTCAGGAAATGGATATGGAGGATTGGGAAGATGAAGAACATCAAAATTACAACCCAGATGCTATCAGATATGATGATGACTATGAGTATGTTCCTGAACAGCCAAAGAAGCTCAAGCTGAACTTGCCAGAAGGTACCTCTGATTACCAAGCCAGATGGTTCCTCGAGGATGATATTGTTGAAGGTGAAGATGATGATGATGAGAGTGACGATCAAATGGATGAAGATGGGATGGATGACGACAATATGGATGACGACGTCTATTCAGAGCAAGGCCAAGATCCACAAGATTTACAAAGTGAAATGTTTGTTGAGCTCAATGCTGAAGAGGAGGAACGTCAACTGCAGATGTTCCGTGATAAGGAGGAGGAAGATCGTGAATTCCCTGATGAACTCGAATTGCTTCCTACTGAGTCTGGTAAGGAGAGACTCAAGAGATACAGAGGTTTGAAGAGTCTATATAACGCTACATGGGATTGTGATGAATACGATCCAAGATCGCCTAGCGAATGGAGAAGACTCTTACGTATCTCAAACTTCAAGGCTACGAAAAACAAGATCCTCAAGTCATCTATCGGCGAGGCCCAAGCAGTCGCTGGTTCCAGGGTTAGAATCTACCTAAAGGCACCAGAGTTTATCGTGTCAAAATTCCCAAACCCATCAGTGGCACCGTTCATCATCTATGGATTGCTCGAACACGAACATAAGCTTGCTGTTGTGAACTTCTCCATTCAATCCTGGGAAGAGTACGATAAGCCAACACCATCAAAGGAAACCATGATTGTCCAGTACGGCCCAAGACGTCAAGTCATTAAGCCTGTGTTTTCCGACGCATCAAACACTCCAAACAATGTTCACAAGTATGAAAGATTCTTGCACAAGGATGCTCTCTGTGTTGCAACAGCTATTGCACCAGTGACATTCACTAACGCACCTGCCATCTTCTTCAAACAGACCTCTGAATCTCCAAGAAAGATCGAATTCATTGGCCATGGTTCTTTCCTCAATGCAGAACATCAGAGAGTTTTGGCTAAGCGTGCTGTCATCACTGGTCACGCCGTGAAGATCCACAAGAGAGTCATCACAGTGCGTTACATGTTCTTCAACGAGCACGATATCCAGTACTTCAAGTCTGTCCCACTCTTTACAAAATCTGGGAGATCAGGTTTCATCAAGGACAGTCTGGGTACACACGGTTACTTCAAGGCAAACTTTGACGGTAAGATCAGTTCACAGGATGTTATTGCAATGGCCCTCTACAAACGTGTCTGGCCAAAATCATCGGTCATGTGGGCACGTTGATCCTCTAATATTACACTTAAATATATATAATGGCTCCGCAATCTGACATGTTGTAGCCCTAGGTATTGTTGCCCTTACCGATGATAATTCCCACGATAAAAAAAAATTTCTTCAGTACAAACTTTTCTTACCTTTTAACAACTTTTTTTCCTTTTCCCCAATCAAAAAGTAACTGGAAACATTTGCCACGATGGATTAGTGTTAATTATCAAGCTATTCCATTGCCATTTCTGGGACAAGATCCCAATAATGACCGTTTCCTAGACAAATGCTAAATATTCCTGGATAGGAAGTTTGAGATTCGATAGTGGGTCTTGAATGTCGATGAAAGGACACATCTTTTTTTTAGCTTGCAATTGTTTAGAATGAATAAACGGTGTGTTTATGCTGAGGATCATCACGTTAGTGGTGTGCTGTGTTAAGCTATATCACAGTCTAATCTGAGAATCTACCCCTTCGCCTTCGTAATCTAGATTCAAAGAAAAGTCCTCGATGCTGAAATCGAAGTTTGCGATGGTTTGTAATGTAAGGTTACCGTTGATTGACTTTCGTAACAACTCGGCAGCTCCTGGTTCAATTGTTATAGCAATCCTTCTTGTTGTTGACACACCTGGGGGTAAAGTAATCTGGGTTGGTGTATTCACGTTTGCAACCTCGATGTCCTTTGAAAAAACCTTTGCACTGTTGATCTTTATCAGTGCAGGCTCATTATTCACAGGGTTGTAAGCCGTGATCTGGACTTCTGAGCTCATCACATGGAAGATCGTACCCAAAATGAATCCGTTGTTCCCATCATTGTGGAAGCTTGGCACTGTAAATGGTAGAGATAGTTCTGATAGAATGTTTGCAATGTGAGCACTCTTGCATGAATCATTGTGACCTGTGATAATGATTTCTGGCTTTTTTCCTGAGATGTATCTACTTAACAGCTCCTCAAGTGCTTGCTGACTTTTATCTGATGAGGAATCAAGTCTCAAAATAGTGGTTAATTCCGTAGAATTGTCTGCCAATAATACAGTATCGGATATCTCAATATTACCGACGATTGTGTTATTGTATGCGATCTTCATATTCACAAACTGGATACCAGCACTTACAATGAAGGGATTAGTGACCATCATGTTGACAAACAATCTAAGATTGGTTGATGTGGATGAGGTGATGTAGATCAAATCATGAAGTTTTATCTCGACATCATCAATAGAATGTTTAATTCCATGGATTGTGATGTTCGATTCATACTCCACCTGCTGAAAGATCTTTGTTGATACTGGTGTGACCAAATCCATATCCATCTTGGCTTTAACTATTGTTTCAAATTTGTCACCATCGAGAAACTTTTTAACCAATTCAGCTGTTAGATGATCATTAACTATATCGATCATTGCACCTTGGACAAAAAGGTCTATGATCTCCGAATATGTTTCAGTTTGTTGCCAACTGTGGAGATATATCTTCAATACGATCTCATTTTTGTATACAATACAAAGGTCGCCAAGCACCTTCTTCAAGTTGAACAGTTGGTTCTTATAATTTGGCACTGGAAGATCCAATATCAACTCAAATTGTGCACTTAACTCTGGTAAGATCTTAGCGTCATTAGCTACCATGATACTTGCAGATGATAGGTCATAATTCAAGGGCTTGTGGTGTGCTCTAGTGAAAGCCTTCTTTGATAACGATATTGGCTGGAAGATGCTTGTGATTATCAGGTACAACCACTTTGGCAAGTTTGCGTTTGCTTCCGAGTTGACTCTGGCAGAGACGAAAACATTTGTACTGGATTCAAGAAACTTCTTCAATGATCTGTTAATAGGGGATAACCCATCGGGACAATGCCGTTCCAAAGATTTATCGAATCTTGGTACACTAAGGGAAGCCCTTATAATCGTTGGTTCTCCATTTTTGAATTGTACCTCTTCCGTGGTTATACTTGCAGTATATATTATATTGTTGAGGCATCCAGCACTGTAGACGTCCCAGTCGATCTTACCAACATAAGTATTCACAGGTACACTCAAGCTTTTTAGACCCACTTCAACTGATGATTGGATGGATTCACCTTCTATGGAGACATTGTATGACTTCAATGTATAATCGAAAAGTCCTGACTCAGTATTTGAAGGAATTGTTATTTGCCTTTTCTCTTTAACGCTGTAGGTCCCTAATGGGACCGATTTGCTAACGTAAAATCTTGAGTTGAATACAGCAGAGATCTCAATATCTTGCAATCGACTGACATCTCTCAAGGCGAGATATTGAGAATAGACTTTGCTCGTATCATATGGGTTGATCTCAACTTGTATAGGTATGTGGAAAGAGTTGATACTCCCTTGGGTAAAATCAATGGTAAGTGGTGGTAAAAGGCAACTCACTGGATGATAAAAGTTCTCATCGTCGTACTCTGGCAAATTCACAAACAGCTCAACCCCCTTCTCATTTGTTTGTATCGTCAATTCACCAAGTAACATGGTCAATGGGATGAAAATACTCCTCAAGAACCAGCCAAGCTTCCCATAATCTATGCTGATCATACCCTGCACATTCACCAACAAGCCTGTATCTGTTATATTCGAGACTTCAACGCCGCTAATGTGGACATAAGAGCTTTCATCAAACACTTGTGGACCTTTGAATACAACAACACATATCACCACGATAAGCCAACCCACGAAGAGCGTCAATGGCACTGCTAACAGCTTGTGGTTCCTGACCCCGTTACGCAGAGTAACCGCCGAGGTCCTTAGAAACGGTAGCGTGTACCAAACTGAGGCCAACGATGGAATGATACCACCAGCTTTTGAAGGTGAAACCTGTCCTGTTTGGAGCAAGGGCGTTTCCTCGTCTATGGCTCTGCCGCCCATCTGGTTCAGTGAGGAAGGCGGTAGAGTAGGCTCACCTTCCAATGCGCTCATCTTCCTGGTTCCATTTGTCAGTGCTTCTCCTTCACAATAAGCGCCCCCATAGAAATGATTGGCTGGAACCATATACTCACAAGCAATTACCAAAAGTACACCAAATATGATACCTCTTTGACGAATGTCAACAAATGTTTGTTATGGATGGTGATGATTTCCATGATTAACCGTGGATGACTGCTTATCAAAGAGTTGACACATTTATGGTAAGGGCCACACGGATGACTACATTGCTAACAATGATATATGGATGGAATCATTTAATACAACAGCTATGGGTATTTATAACTTTGGATCGAAGGAGATGCTCCCTTCTAATGGAGCCGGTGCTGGAGTCAAGTACAATCTTGCTTGCAGTTCGCCAGAACATTTAATTGTCTCGCCAGTTGGGAATCCTTCAACGGTTTCGTTATCGGTACCAGCTTTGGCCAACAAGTTTACAATCAACTTTGATGTGCCATTTAGGACAAACTTGTCATAGTACGTCTCTGTCTCTTGCTTCGTGATGCTCTTCAAATGTTCAACTGCAACTTCGTTGGACAAGAAGTCATAGACACCGTTAGAAATGGCAGCAGTGTATCTTGCATTCTCCTGGTGGAGGTTCTTCAACGACTCCAGTTTCTTATGAATCAACGCCTCCTTGTGATGCTCAAACTTTTCAGCTGGCATCTCCTTCAGTGTTACCTGGAATAGCTTGAGGAAATTGGCAATTCTAGACTCTAAGTATGCTGCGTTTCTCTCACTCTGGATGATGATTCTCAGACCAAAAGTGGTTCTGGTTTCAAGCAATCCACTAAACACAATGTAACCCAATTGTTCTTTGGTACGGAGAATATCAAAGGCTGGCTCCTTGATGATTTGGGCAAGTAGTTCCACTTGAGCATATTGACGGCTGTCACGAGTTTCACCTGCTTGGATAAAGTATTGGATGCATGTGTTTGTATTGTTTTCATCTGGCAACAACAGTTCGTATCTGAAGGTCTTCTCTTCAGGTAAGATATAGGATCTTGGCTTGAATCTCTGTGCGGAGAACAGTGGGGCAAATGACAAGCTTCCGGTGATCAGCTTTGTAATTTCAAATGCCTCTTGTTCTTTATAGTTACCAATGATTAAACCTTCAACAAATGCTTGCTTAAAAATTCCAGGAATAAATCTCTCAATGTCTTCAAAGGTTGTGTTATTCACAGCTTCAATCATGTCATGAGTGGAAAACACCTTTTCGTTCACCAAAGTGGAGAAAACTGTTGTTACTTGATTATACGGTGGTTTATACTCAAAGTTCTTCAAGTTTCTGATTCTCTTTTCTTTGATGACTTCGAACCTGTGCTTCTGAGGTTTGAATGTAACCATTGCCTCGAGAACCTCTTGAATCAAGACCGACAACTTCTCATTGTAACCGTCAAAGCTCAACACTAGTCCTTCCTTGCCTGTAATCAAATTGAAGTGTAGCATGGCAATTTCAGCATTGTAGGATATATCAATGAGAGCATCTTGCAACAGCTCTGAGAAAAGCGTCGTCATAGCATTTGCACTTGGGGTTCCGGTTGTAGCAGGCAGGTTCAGAAACAATTGAACACAAGCCTTTGGAACCCAAAATTGGTCATCTTTCTTAAACCAGAATCTGAACTTGTCGTCATTTTGCAAAAGTTTTGGCTTCTTCAACGGTTCTTGAACTTCAACTCTTTCAACGTCAAACTTTGTTGGGATGAACTCGTTTGGTTTAGGGAATCTTAGCTCAGGGTTAGGAGATGGCTTGGATAATTTTGAAATGAACTCAGGGCTTAAATCTTCCACTGAGTACTCTGTTCCGTACCACTTTTCAGTCTTATTTGTATCCACAGATTGGGAAACCAAGGTAACTCTTAGATTGTCAACAGTCAATGAAGAACCAAATTCTTTGATCAAAGCTGGGTCATATCTTCTCATGACTCGTCTACTCAAGACGTAATCATCCGGAACGTAGTCCTTTTGCAAATCCTTTGCCAAGCTTGAAACTGTGGATGAAGGGGAGCTTTTTTGCTTGAACTTGAAGTTCATCTCACTAATCTCTTTCAATTCTTCATAGATCCATTGATGAGGTTCTTCGTTTCTGACAATTTCCAAGAACTGGAAAATGGTGTATAATACATCTTCGTAATGTTGCAAACCCTTTTCAGTCAAATCAACATCGACACCGAACGTTGCATTACCCTTAGAGATGGTATATCCACCAGCTGATAAGGAGTTTGCCCAACCTTGTTCTTTCAAATATGCCAAAATAGACCCATTTCCTTCATGTCCAATCAGATGGCTGAAATAATGAGAAGATTGAACGTCCCAACTGTTGTCATGGTCAGGAACAGAGAAAGATAGTCCCAACTTGTTCTTTGACATCACCGGTTTCGCCTTAATCAATTTCTGTAATTCATTGTGGGTGAATACTGGTGCATCAAACACCGGCTTTGCAGTATTGTAGTTTGGCACTGTGGTGAATTTTTCCACGACCCATTTCTCCAATGTTGATAAGTCTTCTCTTCCAATAACAGCTAGTTTCATCAAGTTTGAAGAGTATGACTCTTTGTAAAACTTGAGAAGTTCATCTCTAACGTCAATGCCCTTGCCCGCCGGAATCTCGCCCAAGGTTTGCAAATTACCGGTGGAGAACTTATGATAGGGATGGCTTGGGTTGGACAGAGACTTGTCTAACTGGTACAATCTCCAGGTATCGTTCTGTAGGTTCTTTTTGTTCTCAGAGTCAACAGCCCTGATCTCACGGTCCTTACAACTTGGATCAAACAAAGGGGCAATGAAGAACTGAGAGAATCTATCCAAAGCTCCCTCCAAATACTGATGGTTCACTTCAAAGTAGTAATTGGTATCTTCAGCAGCTGTGTATGCGTTTGAGTGACCACCATGGTTCGACAAGTAACTGGAATACTCATTCTCATCTGGATACTTCTCAGTTCCCATAAAGAGCAAATGCTCACAAAAGTGCGCCAACCCAGGCAAATGTTCGTAGTCACTAAAGGCACCGACATTGACATCCAATGCAGCAGCACTCTTATCAGCCTTTGGATCACTAATCAATAAAGCTTTCAACTTGTTGTCAAGGGTGATGACCTTGTACTGTCTATCGTCCAAGTCGGGCTTTTCGATACCGTTGGACTTGTTAAACGTCATGATAGACCTGTTGTGAATGGTGTTGTTTAAGATAGGTGACGATTGATGGTTGAAAGATTTGTACAATATCGAAGGAGTGTTGAATCTCCAGCTCTTCATCAGCTTGTCTGATTACTCTAAAGGAGGAAAAAGAAGGCAGAAGGTGATAAATGCTGTTTGCCCAATCTGCTTGATTAGCCGACGAGAGAAATTGATCATCTGTACCTAAATCCCGAGGTCAGGGTTTGGAGGAGGGGATTCACCTTCCTGATTAGTAAATCTGTACCGGTGTCCAGGTGTTTCACCACTGGGCGTTATGAGCGTTTACGTACCCTTGGGGTCACATTTGTCAGTTGGTAGAGGACATTTATATATGGGAAATTGGAAAGAATCTGGAGTAATGACGTCTATAAGACGTGAGCTAATATCCTATTCATATTTGTGTACGAATATCGTGATTAACAATGTAAAGAAGGTCAAATATATGGCTTTGATTTGTTATCAGTAATACTCAGTATTTAAAAGAAAAAGGTGAGACCATGTTATACTATGAAATTCAGACATCAAAATAGTAATACCATAAAATCCAATTGATACTCAATTATTACAATAATTAGAAATTCTTACTAATATCATGGCAAATAGAAGCATGAATATTATGCAGCCTACTTAGAGTCTACAACTATATATATCTTGCGGATTCTACACAATGCCTGGTTACATATAACACCCGGACACCACCTTCGATCCATCATAGTTTCCCCGTCTCTTCATCGTTGATGCTCGCCATCAATGTTCAATTCAATGTGCTTCTTTCTCTCGATTGATGACTGATATTCTGTACACATCTCAAAGCCATCAACAAAACCCAGAAAGTCTTTTGGTGCGTTAATCAAAGAATCATCTCATGTCACTGCTGGGGTTAACGTGTATTTTGGCGTGTGAGCTGGAAGAAGACACTGGAATTCGCGAAATATGAGCTGAATCAGCTCGCTCGTTTCAAAGCACAACATCCACATCAACTTCAAGAACTCAACGTTGGCTGTTAGCACAATCCCCACAAGGTGAACGTGAAGAAGGAAAGCGATGTTTGGACTCGGAAGACTCTTTTATGGTGAGGCGCTTCAGTTGAATAGGGAACCAGAACGCGATGCACTAACATAAACACCAAGTTATTCTTTTGCTAGTTAACGCAGTTGCTGTGCTCAATGAGGAGAGATTCCTGAACAGGCGTAAGTAGCAATACCGTAAATAGCCAAGCATCCTCTCTACGTGTACTAACGAGACAGACTCAGTCGGGTTTTTGAATAGCCAGCCTGCTTTTGGACAGCCTGAAACAACCGCTCTAAGTAGGCTAATGAATATAGTGTCATCAGTACAGACTGTTATGAGAATGCCGTTGATCATTGTCAACGTGGTTGTCATCTTGTACGAATTGATCTTGGGTTAGCGTTGCTACTATCCTTTAAGCAAACAGGTTCGATATGTTCTATAGATTGATGGATTTCTAATGATGAGGAGGAATATACATGGGATTAAACAAGGAAGATTCGTAAGATTCATTAGAATATGAGAATAAGAAACAAAACAAAAGACAAACAGAATACCAAAAAGCGTAGAACAGGAAACCAACTAAAACTTCTAAAAGGAACAGTGTGAAGGGGGTGATCATTAGTGTACGTGAATCAACAACTGATGGATAATTTTTTCGTTGCCAAAACGGTGGTGGACTCTTTTTGGAAAAAATGTACCAATATCTCCAAATTGTCCAATAGATGAAAGACTTCATTCGAAAACCCATTGAAGTTCTCGTAGTAATTCAATAAACAGTCATAGATAAACAAATACTGTCTCAAATTTTGCACCATCGATATACGTTGATTTCTAAAAGTTTCAACAGTCTCGAAAACAGGATCAAAGACATTATAACCTTCAATCGAACTTTTGTCAGTGACAAATTGCTCATTGATGATGGAGTCCAACGTGCAAAACGTCCCTGTGCGTCCACACCCAGCAGAACAGTGGACGATTACGTTGTCATTGGTCTTGTGCAGACGTTCAAGAATCATGCTCTTTAAGTAGATCAATTTTAAAACGTCATCTTGCTGTGAGTTCAGCAAAACATCCAGGTCTGACCAGTTAAGGATTTGTATCTGTAGGATGTCTTCATTGTACGGGTTCGACTTCAACCTTCTAATGACCATTTCGTCGGATTTGTAAGTCTCCAAGAGGTCGAAGTTGATATCGTCCCAATATGGGTAGCATTTCTCCACACCATTTTCGAATTGGCTTGTTAAAGTGATAATTAATTCAACTCTGTTATCGTGGCATAGTTTGGCAAAATCCTTGGCTGTAGATTCCAAAGGCGCCTGTGTCGCAATGTACTTCATCCTCGACACATTTGGAGCACTTACAAAGTTAGCATTGATGTAATCATGGCTTTCATGAGTGGGCGTGCTGGCCAATTTCACTCTTGAATGTTCGTACGGGAAAATATCCTTATATCTATTTTTGAAGCCAAGCTCGATTCCAGATCCAACGCCATCAGATGAGATCATCGCATTGATACGGTTTCTCTCTTCAATCTCCAAAGATTTGAACTTTTCAATTAAGGACAACTTAGAACTATGTTCAAACAAATTGGTTAACCATTTTGGTGTCTTGTCGCTGGTTGAGTGATTCATAGCCAAGCTAAGGAATTTGAACTCATTAAGGACTTTGTAATTGTCAAAATCGTAAAACTCTTCATTATGACGAATCTTGAACACTGGTGTTTGAGGGATTTTTGGCAAATGAAACCTTGCCAAGTTTGGTGAAACTGACAATGTACTTGGTATGTTAGCCAGTGATAAAGATCGGCCATGAGGTGGTGGTTTCAGTTCTGTTTGTTGCGATGAGGATGTGCTGACTCGAGCATTATCAACAAACTCGGGATATTGCGATCCAAAAGACTGGAAGCCTGACTCAACGACACAGAGTTCTGCGTCGCAGCTCTCATCATTGATAAACTTATTCAGACACCCATAAAGAGTAAGAGGCACTTCACCATTAATAATTTCGTACTGTTCATAAAACACGATTCTCTTGTGTGGAATTTCATGAGATTCCAAGAAATTGGTCAGTCTCACGTTATCACCAAACGTTATATTACCCAAACACTTCTGCAAGGTGAAATTTGGGCGTTTCAAAAGCGTCGATGGTATATTTAAGTTGATTGAGTTAGTCACATGACCCGAGTTGAACTCGGTAAACGGTCTAACGTCGATGAAGAAAGTACTGTCAGTTGGGGAAGACATCAGCTCTGCAGTGTCCTCATTCTTCAACAACTTCACGCCCGGTTGTAATGCAAATTTAGCCACTTTTTTCAACATCCCAGATGTCGTGGTGGGCGATAGTGGTAACCCGTTGAAAGTACCGACACTCTGCTGTGATCCTACGGACGAGGAAGAGTTGAACCGCCGTAGCCTATGGCTAAACGTTGTGTCGATCGACGATACAGAGTTGCAGGAATCCTGCTTTGAATGTTGCTGCTGTTGAAGGAATGGGGGACAAGGTTCCAAGAGTGCGGCTTCAGAGGATACTTTATCTCTCAAGTTCGCCTGTCTCATAGATTCTTCGAATGGGTTGTTGTTCTGCACCCTCATCGAATCCATGAACTGACCTTCCTTCGCTTCTTCGATCGCGGAGAAGGAGTTTGTGAACGTCTTCGAAGATGGTACTGACCTAAATGTCTCTTCAGTTTGTTTCAGCGTATACTCTTGTGGCTGGAACGAAAACATATTTTCCAGTCGAGAGTACAGTGCTTATATGCGAGTTCTCTGGTGGGTTCTTGTTGTAGAAAAACACAGAAATTTGCCAGCTGGATCGGAATATATATTTCTTCAACTTTCAACAGTTTGAACGGTCTTACGCCTTGTATTGCTTCAACGTAGTGCGGTGTGTTTCCCTTCCTCTGTTGTGTATTGTTCGTTTCAACGGTCGAGGACAACTGTATTTTTAGCCTTTAGAGTTGAGAATTATCCTCTTGTCGGAGTGCTCGCAGTTTCTATTTTGATGTATTTTGAGGTACTTGGAACAACCTAAGGCAGCTTAAACACAGGGTCTTGGACAGGTTTAATGCGCTGGAAGACGAGGGCCTTGAGCAGATGGTTTGAGTGTTGATAGTTCGAGGTTGCTGGGTAGTTTGAGTAAAAGGAGGTGGTTGATAAAAATTTGTTTTACAGAAGGGGGATACGACATGTGTTTGCATGGGAGTTCACTGGTACAGAGGACATACTGAGAAAAGCGAGTCAAACGAAGAAGCAGAAAGAGAGACAGAGGCATACATCATACATAGGCGCAAATGTATGGGCATAGGTCCGGAAAACATTCCAAGTCGGAGGATTTCAAGGAGACGAGGGGCGCACGTTTACGTCATACAGCAGTGGATCTTAGCGACTCCGATCATGGAGGCCGTTCTAGACCTTTTGCTTGAAATTTTTGGAAAGCACCCCAACTTTCGAGAGAGAGAGATCGCTGGATCAGCGCAGGGCCTAGGATTAGGAACGACAGGATGGCCCGCAGGCTTGATTGGAAGGTCTGTGATTGATACCATGTTTCCACTGGGTTACGGAGTGGATATTACTGTGTTGGTGAATCTGTTACAACCATATTATCTTCTCTCTTTTTTCGCTTTTCATTGGAAAGGACCCGGGTGAATTTACGTCAAAGTATGCCTCGGACGTCTTTATTCTACGTTTTATATTTATGCAGTGCGTGTAATGAAAGGACCGGTTATTTGGAATTTATCAGATCCACGTTGCGACTACAAGAATGATAGCTTATCATATTCTAGGGCTCACTAGGTATATGTTTACCATGTTAGCTACAAACCACACACAGGTCCTATAAATATACTTATGGGGCTAGCTTATCAAGAATCCCAACTTTATCAACTTAGCATGCAGCAGGGAAACTCCATGGGACTATTGTAACTGAGATAGATGAAAAGATCCAGAGCTCGGCTGAATGAAAAGTAAAGTTGGTTTCAATTTCCAACTCAGAAGTGTTGGAATGTGTGTGTGTGTGTGTATGGTCCAGCAAGTGGTGGGCTCTTGAGGCAGCTGCCTCTTGGTTTTATTACCTGGCCTGAGCCAATTATAGAACATTAATGGCCATTTCTAGTTCTCAATGGTCTCTGGCAGCTGTTCTCGCAGCCTTTCTGGCAACCCAAGCTTCCAACTTCCCACTAGTTTCCTGCACATATCAGGAAACTCGGTTTCGCCTTGAGGAGGACTTTGACAAGTCATCCATTTTGGCAACTTTTCTGGCGACGAAGTTCGGCCCAGTATAATTTGCAAGTGTTGAGGCCAAAGCTTCGACAAGTTCGCAAAAGCAAACGTCCTAGTCTTACATAGTAACCCTTCGAAAGCTACAACTTGCAAAGTGCAAGGGCAGAACCTGTCTCATATGAGGCCCCTACACTTGATACATATTTCACAATTTATGGGCGTATTGCGATTGCATGAATTACCGCGGCTGTTATCCACACCCAAGGCGCTGAATCTCCACCAGATTGGGAACCCTTCAGGGAAAATGGTCCAAATTGACGAGGGAGGAGGGGAGTGGACCTAATCATTTCAGGTTGCAATGGAATGGGCACTTGATGGACCATCATTCACGTGAACTGGGACAGGTATCATGAAACCTTTCCCAGTGCATATTCACCGAGAAAGAACACTCACCGTTAATCATGAGGTGTGTCTCACGACCTCTTTCGAGATTTGGACCCCACTGCTGTCGCAGTATCCCATACTTGCCCAATGCCGACGCACAACTGTGGCATACCAAGAATTCGTATGCGTGTGCAGTAATAAGTTGCATTGAGACTCTTTAACGGTCAATTTGTTAAGCACACGCCACAGCGAGCAGCGTGGATCATGCACGTACTTTTTAATTGCCTGCGATTACCACACAGCTTTTGATTTGTAATTACCATAGTGTATAGGATCGTCAATGTGTGTTGTGAGCTTCTAGGTTGGTTCTTCCGTTTTACACATCATTGTATGCACTATAAGGGTAGCAACCAAGGCATCATCTGTGAATATAACACGATATTTAAATTGCATACGTATGGCTGACGTATGCATGTCATGGATTCGTTGGTACAGTTAGGGCTCCTGAGATACCACACTTTGGCGTTTCATCAGTATACTGGTTTTAGTAGCATGTTTCAGTAACAGATTTGCCCAGTGGTATTTACAGGGGAGATTCAGCCAGGGTACTGTTCGACTTTCGCCCAGTAGCGTAAGGGTTACTGTGCTTGTTCTTCACCGTAGCGGACATCAATTACAGCTTTAACTGAGCAAGTACTAAAACAGAACTGTTCCAGTCCTAATGATATATCAATTCACCTTGAGCGGCAGTGGTTGAGATATGTTTAAACTCAGAATAGCCAAAGTGTAATCTCGAATGATGTATGTAGGACCTATGTACATCAATCTTACACTCATATATGTCTTCCAATTATTAATGCTCGTAAAAACCGAATTGATGGAAGATGACACTCGCGCCATGAAACTATACAATAGCAGATCTAGATGGCGGCGATGAAAATTGTAGTAGTTATCAAATATGCTGGTACCACATCCAAAATGTATCACCAACTTGAAACAATCGCTGGAATGGGCAGTTTCATGGAACAGTTCTGTTTGAGATGCTTTACATACCCAGAAACCTCATTCAATTTTCTCTTTGTTATAACTACGATAGAGAACAGCCTTGTTATCCCACAATCCACCCTGAGCTGCACATACAGATAACAATTTAACATTATACGCTTTGTGATGTAGATAGAGATTTACATGGATGCATCATAGAAGTAGACTCCACCTCCATCTATTGGATGAACTTCCCTCGTACACAAGTCAGGTGCTTTCCGAAACTGGTGGCGATTTGTAACATTTGGGAACAACACAGGACCTGGAAGACTCATCAATTTTATGATGTAAGATTAGAAGAATACTAGCACCGCTGGTAGAATCCAGCAAAACTCTCACTGCTTCATAGTATGGTTCAACTACACTGCGATGTGATGGATTGGCACATTGATGGTTTTTGCAAAGGGCCATGGAACCAGTGCTACGTCATATCACGCCTGTGCTCATAACCAGGAAGTATATTTGAAGACAGTCGTTGACATCCCTAAAACATAAACAAACAAACAAACAAACAAACAACTGGCAGAGTCTTCTATCATAACAGTCTACCACGGATCACAGTTCCCACATATAAAACATCATTTTAGCCATGCCATTAGATGATAAAACAATCAGAAAGGTGTCCAAGAAGTACACATCGAACATGACGCGTCAGTGGTCAAAGCCATCATCACAGCTGCTCCAGGCAGTGGAGGATATTCTTATGACTAACAAGTCAAAATGCCTGGAGATGGTTCCTTCGAAGAAGATAAACTCGCAGAATATCGCAATGACAAACTTCATAAACGATTTCATGGCAGATTTCAGCAGGACAAAGCTACCGAAGGCAACGAAGCTTGATGATTTTGATTATGATTACCAGCTGAAGAGACAAAGTGCACTACTGAATAGAGAGTCCAACGAAAAGAAGATAGTGAGGAATCTGAAACGTACACTTATCCAAGAAGAGGACAAACTAAACCAGACGACAAAGTTTTTAAAGTCGTACGAAAAACTGAATGAAGAAGAGGACAAGAAACTCAGGCAGGTTATGGATGAATTTGAAATAGAACATTCCAACGAGGGAACAATGTTTGATGATATCAAGCTGGTGGGTTTGGACCTCGATACAATACAATCAGACTCTGAATTACAAGAGTTGATGAAGAACTTTGATAGCCAACTTGAAAAGTTGGACAACCAGTCAAAGTTGTACCACGATATCGTTGGTAGATTGGACAAAGTGCTTGAGAATCTTTAAAAGGATACCATTCTACACAGATACTTTTGGAAACATTAAAAATGACGTTTTTTCGATTTTATACACCCATCATAATCCACACAAACAAAAGATCAAAATAGTTTTAGATATGAACCTTTTAACCAGTTTAGTCAGCGTTACGACGAGCAGCGTGCTTAGCAGCTCTCTTACCGGTACCGAAGACCTTCTTGTCTCTGTTCTTCTTTTGCTTTCTTTGTTGTCTAGAAGCCTTCTCAACCTTTTGGGCCAAACCGTATCTGACCAATCTGTAGGTTGGCTCGAACTTCTTAGCATCAGCAACAGAGTTGTAGACAAGACCGAAACCAGTAGACTTACCACCACCGTATTGGGTTCTGAAACCAAAGACAGAGACAGCATCCTTGTCAGCCTTGTAAGTGGCAGCCAACTTCTCTCTCAACTCATCCTTGGAGACGTTAGCCCTGTTTGGGTGCAAAACGTCAATGACGAATTGGAGTCTAGCCAACAATGGGTTGTTAATAACCTTTCTGGTTCTAATGGTAATAGCGTCACTCTGTAAACTGTTAGTATTTCGTTCTTACTGGACTGAGGGAAAAATGACAGTAATACGGGAAATGATCATATAAGCGTTGGCTCTCATCATCTGGGAAGATGATCAGGAAACGTTGAATCACACCTAGTGCTATCCGATGTTTTCTCTCAACTGGATCTATATCTTTTGTTTTTCATTCCTCCAGTCAAGCTATTGAAAAACGCTCAAAACGTTCTTATATGGTAACCCCCCAAACTATACCCGCAAGCTCTGATGTAATGATTCCATTCCTTGTTTGACATCTTCTATGAACATGACGACATCTGTTACTGATCCCTTTTCCCACATGTATTCTCTATAACATACCATTCTGTCTTGATGATGTCCGAACTGTTCACCTTGTAGTTGATGTTCAAAGGTTGAAGAATTTCAATTTTTTGTTTGTCAGAGTCCCAAGCGACACACGCAAAAAAGTCCACTTCTTACATAATAACACAGCGCAAGATTAGGTAATAGAAGTGAGTGGGTTGGTGTACGGAAGTGGCATTTTTTTCGTAAAGGAGCAGTCACAAATATTTAATTTAATACACATCCATACACCACGATTCCACGAAATTGTTTGATGGTCATGTGCGATTATCAAAGCTCACGGGACCCTCCATCATGCAGGACATGGCATCAATGTACATCAGTGTTCGATGGATGATTGGACACATATATCTTGGGAAATAAATATGTCACTAGTATACTGTGCCCAAGTAGAGCAGGAAGATTCCGATGTATTCAAGTAGGTATAGAGTGAATTATCTGGTATTTTGCACTCAATAACATGAAGTAGTCGGCTCATCAAGAGCAACAACAAAGGTATCTTGTTATTGGAGAATGTTTGATTTGACCAAACAGTTTAGATGACAGATACATGTGAATCTTTCAGCTAAATACTCTGTTATCATGTCACAGCTTTTCACTTGCTTGATATTTCCAGAGTTACTTGTAGCTTTTCCAAGAGTTTCAATGTTATTTGTCTAAATAATCTTTTCTTACGCACTTCCTGAGTATCCAAGACCGAAGAAATTCAGCACTTGGCCAATGCTTGAAGCATTGCATGCTTAGCTAGTATTGTCATGGCTTGACTAGCATATCTATTGGAAGAGTAATACTCTTGGAGATTCTTTCTTCAGTGCTGCAAATATTTTCATATATTGGCTTGATTCTTCAACAAGTTTGAACAAGCTCTTTAAATCAGCAAAGTAGATACTTGAACCAACATGGGGAACGATTGCTCTTGTAGGAAGAAGACTATAAGTGATATCATCTACAGAAGTTAAATCAAAAATTTGCACAAGTGGTCTGCGCATTTGGACCAGACAACCATTTATAATATTCTGAAAAGATAAGATAACCCATTGTATTGACTGGAGGCTTTTGCATTATAAAAATATAATGAGAACTGTCGTAATACTGTACATTATCTAGAGCTTCAACGTAGACGAAATCGGTAGCTATGATCTTACAGAGGTGTTCACCATTACTGTATCAGCTTGTTCAATCACAGTACAAGTTGTAAACACAGGTCCGACATGATTATCACCTTCTAAGCAAGTAACGATGTACTGTTGAATTTACAATCATTAGTCAAATCCAAATGTCATGATGATTCGACTACGTTTCCAGCTCATCTGTCCAACTATAGATTTCTGCTTAGTCCCACACATAAACACTTTCTACATAGTATTATAATAAATCAGAAATATTTCCATGATCAATTACTGCCTCTTAACTAGCATAATTTCTTTTACATTCAATATGACTGTATATTTTATTTGACCTCATTAATACAATAAAAAATCTATGGTTTACCTAACATATTAAAGCTTGGGAAACAGATTGAAACGTCTTCAAAACTAGTTCATTGTTCTACAAACCGAATTACCAGAGATTGAGTGGCTACCAAGAGCAGACGTGTTTCTTCAATAACTAAAAAGCAATACAGTGATTATGTAACCTTGTTTGAACAAAAGAAAAAACACAGCATAGAAAGCCTTTGCAAGCCTACAAAAGCTTCAAGTACACCTATAACTCAGGAATGATACCAACTACAAGGATTAATGAGAAAGGAATTACTGCTAGTGTAGCTCATCTTTCATCAACATCTGTCAATTTACTAAGGTTGACTATTGCTGCGCGTACCGGCACTTTAATATGACGCGAAGCTTTGTTTACGATTTTTCAAACGCGTTCTTCCACGATGTTCATACCAGTTTCATTGGGTAAATTAAAGACCAAGAAATGAACAATCAACTTGAAACAGACTCTTTCCATGAGACTGGAAGTGATGTGCCAGCGGAGCCGCAGACTTCTAAGCAGAACGTCGACGATTTGCTTGGGCTGAACTTGAACACGGACGAGGCCAAGGATACTACCAAACCTCGTGTACGTCGTCCCAGGTTCCTTCAAGATACCCATCTTTTATCTGTTCGAGGATTGAAATATGTTAGGAACAATGCACAGAGAAGAGTGAGAAAGAATATCCAGCATAAAAACGAGTACACGAACTTGACAAACCTCCTGACGTTTTACCAAATCTGGGGCCATAATTTATTCCCAAAGGCCAAGTTTAGTGACTTCTTAGATATGTGTGCCACTGCTGGGGCAAAGAAGCCTGTGAAGCACCTGAGAGAAACGTATAAGTTACAAGATAGGGGAATCTACATGGCTGATGAGCTTCCTGAGAGACCTGGACTATATGGTGTGCCGGCTAATGTTATGCATAAACAAATAGGGGAGGAGTTGGAGGAAACGGTTTTGTCAGAGCGTGGGTTGCGTGACCATGACTTAGACAGCACACAAGCGAGAGGATCAAGCCGTGATGATGGACACCAGCCAGCGAGCCTTTTTGTTCCTGCTGAAGAGAATGACGAAGACGGTGCACAAAAGAATGGCCATCAAGTCAACGACGAGGATAGTAATATTACAAAGGCTGATGGCGATGCCAGAGGGAGCGAGAAGAAGAGCACCGATGAAGGATTTGACGATGAGTTTGACGATGAGTTTGACGACGACGACGACGACCTGCTGTTTGCCAATATTGGAGCCAAACCGGACTCCTCCACAACCACGACTAATATTGAGAAAGCGACCGCAATGGAGAAAGACCCTACTTTGGAAGAAGACCCTACACTGGAAGAATTCGACCAATTCGAAGAGATGGACGAACACGAGGCAGAACTAGAAGCGATGCGTGAATACGGCCTCTAAAACACCGCTTCATTTATTGTGTCATATCATGTAGGCGCCTGGATCACAGCAAAGCATCTCTATGTCCGACTCACACACCACGCACCGTTTAATCACATACCGTGTATTTCACCATCACTGGCAAGTGGATACGAGCAATTACTCCCGTCTTGACTCCGACTCTCACTTGCTACCTGCTCGCTTGCATTTCCAAACAGGGCTGTTAGTCCCAATAGCCCCAGTTGCCAATCAGCGAGCCACAGCATGCAAGAGCCACTGTGGGCACGGAAACTTACTTGATGGGGAAGTTTGTTCGGAGCATGGAAGGAAAACAAATGGGACTCAAGGACATAACCAAGCCATAATCCCTTGCCTGTCCATTGCAATTGTGGCTCTTTGCAGCGTGATGGGACAATAGCGGGTGAAGCTGAAACAGTCTGCCTGCCCAAGCTCTCGCTGACTCTGCGCGGCCATTGTATGTTCCCGTGCGGGCTGGACATTATTATTTGTTTGCATTTGCCTGCTAAGACGGCCACAGGGAACGATATCACAGCTGTGGCTATACTGAATGCAAATATGAGTGACAATCCTGTGACGTTTGTAAGACTGTGTACCTCACTGTGAAATTTAAGGGGTGTGTGACTCAGTGGGAGCGGTGGTATAAAAGCAAGGAGGTCTGTCATGCTGGAGCATGGTGCTTTACAGTTGTTTGGTGATGAGTTGTTATTTGCTGTTCAACTGACATAGATAGAGCCATATTTCCATCACAGTTGTGAATATTGTCGTAATAATGAGTACTGATACCCTTTCACGCGAGCCAACAAAGCTCGAGCCTGTCACATTGAAGAGAAAATTCACCGAAGATGAGAGATCCAATAGTGTTGTTTCATTGGCCAGCACCGATGGTGATCGTCTAGATGATAAATTGGACCAACAGTCATCAGATTCAGATTCAGATTCCAAGGTTGAAAGTAAGAAGAGAAGAGTTTCGCCAGAGGATGGAATCACAGAGACGGAGTTACACTTGGTTGAGAACGACACTGATGATCTTCAAACAGCATTGGTTATCAAATCATTTGAGGAGCCATTTAGCGTTGACGAGAAGTACCCTGTTCCAGATTTGGGCGAACATGAAGTTCTCATTGAGAACAAGTTTATTGGATTGAACCCTATAGATTGGAAGGGCAAGAAGTATAGATTTGGCGTGTATTCATTTCCCTGGATTCAAGGACGTGAGTCGTCTGGAGTTGTCAAGAAAGTTGGTTCTAAAGTTGCAAACTTGGCGACTGGCGATGAAGTTTTCATTGCCTCAACGTCATACAGAGATCTGAGAACGTCGACATTCCAACAATACTCCATATTTGACTCTCGTCTTGTATGGAAATTACCGAAGAATGTTTCTCTGAAGGAAGGTGCTGGTGTTGGAGTCGGTCTGGTTACCGCTTCCTCAGTGATGGAGGAGTTGAACGTCAACATCTTCGAGAACGAAGACTTTGACAAGGAGCAATACATTTCACCAGAAGACCGTGACTCTATCTTGATCTGGGGAGGCTCCAGTGGTGTAGGAAGCTATGTCATTCAACTTGCCAAGGTTGCAGGCTTTAAGAAGATCATTTCAGTGTCCAGTCTCAAACATGAAAAGTTCCTGAAAGATATTGGTGCTACCCATATCCTGGACAGATTCAAAGAGCTGGATGAGCTGAAGAAGGAACTCCACGAAATCCTACCTAATGGGCTACAGATTGGCATCGACGTTGTCGGCAAGCAGACGTCTGACCATGTCATCCATTTTCTCAACCTTGGCGATAACAACAATGACAGCACCAAAACCTTTGTCGGTGTTGTGTCAATGCCGTCCAAAGACCTTGACAGTGAACTGCTAAAGAACATTGAAGTGAAACAGGTGCTCATAAAGAAATTCCATGAGAATGTGAAGCATGGCGAGAACCTTGTCAGGGTCACCCACGATCTACTGGACTCTGGTAAGATTGTATCGCAGAAGAACCTCAAGCTATACAGTGGCTTTGAAGGCATCATATCCGGGCTGGAAGATTTGGAGAAGTATGGTGCAAGCAACGAGAAGTACGTTGTTGAACTATAAGGGTAAAATGGTTACGTTTATTTACAGGTTATAGATAATATACAACACAATTAACCACTCTTCAATCATAGTATTCCTTGTCGACATGGTGTAGAGCGCAGCTGTCATCCAAGAACGGTAATTCCCACATCGGGTGTTGTCCGTGACGGAACATCACCATTTCCGGGAAATTACTGTTTTTATCCATTATCCCTGTACATTCGATGCGAAGGGCCCCACGTGGATTATCAACGCTGCCAAAAATGAACCTCCCTCCCAAGAAAAGCGTGGGCTTTCTCCCTTTGGACGTAAAATGTGGTTGCCTTATGTATCATTGAGCTGTTAAACGTATTAAAATTTTTATATTTTCTCTTCACAGTTAACTTCAACAGTACCCTGCTCGGTGTTACAAAGAAGATATAGCCACCATTTGCACAACTGTTAACCATGTCTTCTGCTCCTCTTCTACAATCAGCTCCAGGTACGTTGTTTACAGATTAAGTCTTATCGATGTGCCGATTCCGCAAGATCAATTGGCCGGGCCATGTCTCCTGGATTGAAGCGACAACGTGTGTACTAACGCTGAGCACAATATAGGTAAGAGAATTGCGCTTCCTACTCGTGTGGAACCAAAGGTGTTCTTCGCCAATGAACGTACTTTCCTCTCGTGGTTGAACTTCACCGTGGTCCTCGGAGGTTTGGGTGTTGGTCTGCTCAACTTTGGTGACAGAGTTGGCCGTATATCTGCTGGTTTATTCACCTTTGTCGCCATGGCCACGATGGTATACGCCCTCGTGACCTACCACTGGAGAGCAGTTGCTATCAGAAAGAGAGGTTCAGGCCCTTACGATGACAGATTCGGTCCTACAATGCTATGTTTGTTCTTGCTCGTGGCTGTTGTCGTTAACTTCGTCCTTAGATTGAGATCCACCTGAGTGCTTCCTTGCGCTGACGAACACATCTGCACAGAACAAAAGATAAAATGTATATCAAATAACCAATATCATGGACCCTCATGCACAATTCTTAACGCCATGAAGGTACGTATCCTCAACTCGCCATAGTTACACAATTAACTGGCCAATCAATCTAATGATCTCTACCCTTGCGGTGATGTTAGAAACTGTAGGAGACCTACAACCGCATACAATGGTGTTCCTGATTGCAATCCCTCATGGAGCCGTATACGTATTATGGCATGTGCGAGGTTTCTCACCAAAAAATCCCCAAGAAGATGGAAACATCCACTTGTACACCTGAGAAAGAACAACAAGGCAAGCCAAGTACAAGTAATGGATCCACGCGTGAGAGATCTATATAAACGGCTCATATACATAGCGAGAGAGTATCCGTGAGTGTGCCATGATCCTTTCTCCAAGACTGCATCGCTAATATCACCAACACACAGACAAGGAATTGACTACATCAGGCCGAAGCTCAAGGCTGGCTTCCAGAGGAATCGCGCATTGACTGATACTGAGGCTGTGGACCAGGCGTTGGAGAAGGGAGAATACATATACAAGGGTAAGGACAAGCGATCTTGTCCCCTGTTATGGCATACTAACGATATTATTTTAGAGATTGAGACGCTAATATTTCTGCGTAGGTACAGAGAGATGAAGAGACGATACTACAGTTGATATTGAAGACAATACAGGGGAAAGTTAACATAATAAAAGGAATATCAAATTCATAACAGACGTAACAAAGTTTTTAGGCGCTCTTGGACTTGATAGCGACTCTAACAGCCTTCACTTGGGTGTAGTTGTCCAAGGCATCGATACCCATTTCTCTTCCGATACCGGATTCACCGTAACCACCGAATGGAACTTGTTGGTGGAAATCGTTGTATGTGTTGATCCAGACAGTACCAGCCTTGACTCTGTTGGCAACGTCAATGGCCTTGTTAATATCAGTGGTGTGGATACCAGCAGCCAAACCGTAGTTAGAGTCGTTGGCCATCTTGACAACCTCATCAACAGTAGAGAACTTTGAGATGGTGACAACAGGGCCAAAGATCTCCTCCTTGACAATTCTGTGGTCTTCCTTAACATCAGCGAAAATGGTTGGCTTGATGAAGTAACCTTTGTCACCAAGTCTCTCACCACCAGCAATCAAGGTGGCACCTTCATCCAAACCGGTCTTGACGTAGGACAAGATCTTGTCAAGTTGCATTTGGGAAGTCTGAGCACCTTGGAAAGTACCTTCAGCGAATGGTTCACCAACCTTCAATGAGTTTGCAGCGTTCTTGAACTCATCTAGAACCTTCTCGTAAACACCATCTTGGACGTAGACACGGGAACCAGCACAACAGACCTCACCAGAGTTGAAGAAGATACCGGTAATCAAACTTTGAACGGTTTGCTTGACATCAGCGTCGTTGAAGACAATGTTTGGAGACTTACCACCCAACTCCAAAGTGACCTTCTTCAAGTTGGATTGAGCAGCAGCTTCCATAATGTGACGACCAGTAGCTGTAGAACCGGTGAATGCAATCTTCTTGATTTTTGGGTGACGAGCAATCTTTTCACCCACAATCTTACCGAAACCTGGAACGATGTTCACGACACCAGCTGGGATACCGGCCTCGTTACACAGCTTGGAGACGTATAAAGCGGAAAGTGGAGTTGCCTCAGCTGGTTTGAGAACCACGGTGTTACCAGTGGCCAAAGCTGGACCAATCTTCCACGACCACATCAAGAGAGGGAAGTTCCATGGGATGATTTGACCACAGACACCAATTGGCTCTCTCTTAGTGTAGTTGAAGTGTGAGTTACCAGTTTCAATGACACGTCCGTAAACCTTATCAGCAAAACCAGCACATGATCTAAGGTACTTGGAGACAAGAGCAACATCATAACGAGAACACAAGAGGGACTTACCGTTATCCATAGATTCAATGCCAGCAAGGATCTCAGCGTGCTCATCGATCAAGTCAGCCAACTTGTAGAGCACACGTCCTCTGAACTCTGGGTCAGCAGTGGACCATGTAGAGTCGAAGGCCTTTGAAGCAGCCTCAACAGCAGCCTCGACATCGTCTTCACGGGCCTCGTAGATGTGCAAGATTTCCTCCTCCGTGGATGGGTTGATCACCTCGAAGGTCTTGTGTTGACGGGATTGGACGAATTCACCGTTGATGAAAAGACCAGTTGGTTGGTCATAGGTAACACCGTTTGGCAATGTGACTGGCACACTGAGTGGGATTGTGGAGTACAATCTTGAAGCTCTAAGAGCCAAGGAAAGTCTAAGAGCACTGACTTTAGTGGATGTTCTGAACATTGGATGGATCGATGATTAGAGAAGAGACGTCGGAGGCTAAACAACAGAGAAACTCAACCGGTATTTATAGTCGTTGCCATAGATGTAATTTGTAAAGCACAACCCCATATGGTCCTTAACTCCAGCGGGGGTCCTCACCTTCGATTAGTTTAGTGTTTTTTTCTTTTTTTTTTGCTTTGCAGTACACGTTGAATCTTCTACAAGCCATGAGGTCATCTTGAAACCAGTGGCCCTGTTCTCTGCATATGAAACAGTTTACAGCTCTCCCACACCTTTGAAAGTAATCAATTCGAGTCAGTCGGATTGCGATCCTTTGTGCGACATCGGTAACAAAACGGCTGCGAAAACGCAGCAGAGGTGAACAACCGGAGAGCGAAAAGAACCACGATATATCAGGAGGAGTAGCCAAAAGATTGGGACCGACGACTAGGATCTTCCATAGAGTTGGCGTATGGAGTGTCCTTCAGATGAATTCAAGCGATGGTGTATCCTCATCACGCGTAGCTCGTAGTGGCCTCGAGGGAGACGTCGATGCACGTTCTAATCTCCGTGCGATGAGCTTCCTGTCCCACTTGTTCAGGAGACGTTTCTGGTGGCCTTGGAAGTTAGGGCATCTGCCCACAACCAGGTGCTCTTACCCCGCTCGACGCTTTGGGAAAACATAGCCTACGGCGACGTAGGGCCAGGACACTTGGCTGTGGGCTGTGATTAGGTCTTTTGTGCTAGAGGGGGAGCCACCGGGCTGGAGTTCAAATGAAGAGATGGGCTCCAAGACTATGTGCTTGTTGTGAACAATGCGGAGTGGATAGTTCTAATAATTTATGTTGAAGACAATGGAGGAGGAGGGTTAGTGGGTTGGAAGGTGTTTTAATTACAGAGTAAGTTAGCGGCGTGGTGTCCCAGTTCTATGGTTCAGCCGGTAAACTGCATGTTTGGCATCTGTTGTGCTAGGGATGGTGTCCTGTTTAATGGGGGGGGGGGAGGTTGGCCCCGCAGTAGAGATCCTTCGAGAAATCTATACGTTCTTAAAACCGAGATCGATGTGTTCGGTCTGCCTTTCCAACCACTCACTCTGACAAATCAAGATGCCTTTTACTCTGAAGGGCAAAGTATAGTAGCTCTGTAGTTCAAGG